AAAGCTAGATTGGCTCACACTGGCAAATTAGAAATGTAATTTCAGACATATATTTCCCATTAAAAATATATTTGAAACATGATCACTTGCAGAGGTTTTTATGTTGCTTTTCCATTAATCCTCAAATGCAACTCATCCTTATTGGCTTCATTTGAAAATTGATACATGTGGTACCATGTGGTGTGTACCCATTTGTGCTAAGTTAGCAAACTAAGCAAAAGATTCTGGTTTGGATATGTAATGTACAAGTGATATAGACCTTTGTTCTATGCTGCCAGCTCCTGTTAATTCTGGAATTTACGCCACAGACCACGGATTATAAAGAACCAGGAACAAAATCCAAGTTAAGGTACTCCAGCTTTAGAGATTCCCTAGTTTAGTTGAAAAAGGCATTTCACCATACCCATAAGAACCACAAGACCTGCAATTTCACCATATCATGTGGCCTTACAGACACCCAGGACTGAATCTATTTTTTTTGGCTAACTCCAAGTTGTACTGAGTTTTTTTGGAGGGATATCCGTCATGTGGTCCAGCAGGTTTTCTTGCTGTTATTAAACTCACCTCATTAACTACCTACTCTGCCCCTATGGTGCCTCTCATGTCTGACTCCTGCCTCATTTTAGCACGCACCATTCCCAGAACAACATAACACTCAGCAGATATCCCAGAATTCACTGCTAGACACTACACCCTTGCAACTTTAAAGGAGTTTGTTCACCTGTATAAAGCAGTCAGTCACTGTTTCTGATATTTGCCCCAGATATGGCAGATTGGGGGAAATTGCCGCCCAGCTTTATTGGCAGGAACCTGGGGGTCCTGCTGGATGTGATGGCGTACATGCAGGATGCTCTTTCTCCCCATTGGAGGCCATGCCAGTCTGGTCTGAGGTTGCCTCTGGGTCAATGCAATCTCAACCATCTGGAGGCATAGACAGTGTTGTAGGAAAGTCAGTGATCTCCTCCATCTCACCAGCGTTAAGTGCAGCCATCTATTTTTTCTGATACCTTGCACTCACTCTATCTCTGCTACCCTGAGGGGAGTTGATCACCTAGTGGTATTATGGCTGGGCTGTTAACCCAGAGACCCCAGCCAATGCTCTGGGGACCTGAGTTCGAATTTTGCCGTGGCAGATGGTGGAATTTCAATTCAATAAGAATCTGGAATTAAGAGTCTAATGATGATCAAGAATCCATTGCCAATTGATGGTCGGGAGAAAACCATCTGGTTCACTAATGCCCTTTAGGGAAAGAAAATGCAATCCTTACTTGGTCTGATATACACGTGACTCCAGACCCACAGCAGTGTGGTTGACTCTGCACTTCGCTCTGGGATGGGCAATAAATGCTGGCCTAGCCAGTGACACCCTCATCCCATAAATGAATAAATTAAAGAAAACATTCCTCCAAGGTTGATGCTGTATCACTCTCGCTATTACTTGCAACATCCTTTCCTCTTCACTCGCCCAATCCACAAATACCACTTTGCCTGCATGTCCTCTGCACTGCTTACTCACTCATTCACTAACACACATAGCTATGCCACCCACTTTCATCTCCCACAAGAGGGCAGCAAGATTAAAGATGGGAATCCTGTATCTGACAGGACTGTATCCAAGCCCTTGAACTGGTCTCAGAATCTACCCCAGTACTCCATAAGTGAAGGCTAGCTCCCTTGACTTGACTAAGGCCAACTGACAACCATGACAAGGTTCCTTCCTTAATGTCCACACTAAATGGCAGGGAGAGATAGAAGCAACATGGTCCTGGTATTTTTTGTTGAGGGGGGCAGAGTACAAAAAGACAAGGCAGAGATTCTGTGAGCATCCAGGTAGAGTCAGAGTGAGTGATGGTTATGAGAGCAAGCTAAAATAAAACACAGGCTGAGCACAAAGCCTGGCCCTGCTCATGAGCTGGGTGTCCACCCCACCCCACCTTAAGCACAGTGTCCTTCATTCAGCAGAACAATGGTAGTTACCAGTGTAACCCAAGGTGCACCATTGACATGCAGAAGAATCCTGTAAGCGGATCAGAGATGTGTCATGATGGTTCTTAGACCACTTCAAATACCAAATCAAGGCTGAGATAGACAAATTTTTAATCAGTAAGGCAATCAAGTGTTATGGAGAAAAGGCAGGAAAGTGCATTTGCAGATTATCAGAACAGCCATGAACTCATTGACCAGCAGAACAGACCCAATGAGTTGAATGGCCTGCTTCTGCTTCTATGCCTTATGGTCGATGTCCGTGGATGTGGGGTGCATGCAGCTGGTGCCCGTGGAGTGTGCCCTGTGATGTTAGTGCCCAGTATCTAACATGGAGGTCCTTCAGTACAAGTGATGAGCTGAATTTGCCAGGTACCTGCTGTGATTTCCATGTTGAGTTTTCTGAATGTCTAGCTTGTTTGGCGTATTTGGTGAACAAGGAAACTGAATATGAACGAGATGGGTTGGGCTTTTAACAAGGTGTTCAACAAAGTAATAAACCCCCTTAACTGGAAACCTAGTGGGAAACTCACCACCCTGCTGGGCAAAAGCATGGAAGGTAGAGAAACAGGCTCCCAGTGCTGAGATTGTACCTGCTGGAATTCTCATTCAAATCTGCTACAAATCTTGCCATAGCCCACATTTCTCAGACTCCTCTAGTATTCTACCCACAGAGTGGAAACTCCCTTTAGAGTCTAACTCCAGAGGCAGGTCTGGGAGTGGGAGCCATTTGTACTTGGGATAGCAGGTTTGTTTTCACATGATCATACAGTTTTCAGCATTACACTGTTCATGAGACTTTTCTTTGTGATTCTGAAAGGTCGGGTCAGGCAGGCAGCTCTCACCCTCATCAGTACCTTCCACCACCAAAAATCCAGGTTCCATACGTAAAAAGGTCATCTGGACAGACCCTCACTGTAGGTCAGTAGCTTCACTCAGCCTCTGTTGGTTGTTATGCCCCACACTCCCCTGAAGTTGTGTGAGTCAAAACAAAAACTGGCTCCAAGGTTAAGCAGTGCGTTGCCAGAGGTTCTGCTCCAAGCCATCCAGGAAAAGAAAGGAGGTCCTCTTCCCCAGGGACAGGAGCATGAGGCTGACCAGGGCTCTTTAAGCCAAGGTCGCATTGCAGGTCACCTCTTGTGTGCCTGGCCAGAGAACCTGGATTCATTTCAGGAAAAGGATGAACAATCTCTTATACTCTTCAAGACTAGCGACACTGTCGACTAACTGCAAGCCTACAAAGTTAGAGGTATCACTCAATATAACTGTGCCAGTGCAGAGGCATGTCAGATAGCTTCAACATCTTGCATGAACTATGCAAAGGGCTGACAGTGCACAACACTGACAATGTTCCATCGGTTCTCTGACAGTGTATTTACTAATCAGTTAACTGGGAGGGCTCAGGACCTGGCATAGCTATCCAAGCCCATGAAGTACTCAGGTACCCATTGTCATAGCACTCAATCCTTCTCTGCAAAAAGTGCAGAATATTCATAAAGAATCAGAAGTTTAGCACCATACTTATCATTTCAGATTTTCTTGGGGAAGGGTTTGTGGGTCTGTTAGATATTGTAGAAATATGGTTACCAGAGATAGCTACTTTTAAATCAGATCTTGATATCCTCATTGTATGTAACCCAGAATGGGCAGAGCAGACCAGACCAAAGCAGTATTTTTTTGGGATATCCAGGGTATCCCTTGTGGGATACCATGCTGAGATCCCCTATCGATATATTTCCTCAACAGCTTTGGGGAGATAAAGATGAGGTGAATAGTTTTTTGAAATATTGAGGAGTTGAAGGCTCTGCTGAACTAACAGGAAAGAGAAGTTGAACCCCAGGGCTAATCAGCCATGATTGTATAGAAGGCAGGACAGTATTGTGGAGTTGAATGGCTGACTTATGCTCATATTTCTTATGTTCTTAAACAACATGGAATAAAATGTTTTCATAACGGATTAGTTGAAGGCATTTCAATGGGTGGAATATTCCCCTCCCTATTTGAATTGGACAATGGCTGGAATGTTTGGAAAATGTGTCAGGAATGAAAAAGTTATAATCTTGACATCAAGGGAAAGTTTTCCGATGTTTCCCTTAAGCTGTAAATGCCAACTTAAGAATCTTATAATTGAGTTGCAGTTATCTTATTTCCATGCAATTGTATCTCATTATCCACTTGCTGTTTGCAGCTTGGTAATCGCTTCTCCCAGGTATCATTCAACTTGTCTTCAGAAGGCTCCTGCATGGTCTGTGGCCGTTATCTTCCATGAACCTTTGTCTGTGCAAGTCAGCAGTGGCAAACCAGCTTCACCACATTATTATGCCCATTCTTCAATCAACTCTCACATCACTTCAGCCCTTCAACACTTTACTTTGGAACTTGAGGAAGCCTACAAATTTCATGCGTCTACCAGGTTGCTTTGCGCACAGGGACAATTGCATCTCATGCATCTCCGCCGGATACATCTAACAGTTCTTAGCTTGCATTCTTAGTGTTCAGCTACTTTGTACTTACTTGAAGGCTGCCAACCTCTGTTTTTATTCACACAGAGCAGGAGGAAGACAGCGTGTCTGGTTGGGAAGCATTGAACAGTCAAGAGGGTGGACATATCACTGTATTGCACATGGTGTGTGAAAATCACACCCATAGCATGTGCTATGTTGTTACGCAACAAAAACACCACATGGGATTCAAGCAAATGGCTCTGCCCCCAAGTCAAAGGAGAGTCTCCTTGGTGTAGTTAAGGGGGACTATGGTTAGTGGTCAGTCAGAGACTTGTCCAGTGCATTGGCCATGATTGGGCTTAATCAGTCCAGCAATCCATGTCCTCACCAATTGCAGATTGGGTTGTAGCCAGTCCTACATGTCAAATGTAACCAATCCAGAAACTGCAGGCAGGTCAGCTGGGGTGCTGTGGAGACAGCCGTCTGTGGGGTGGACAGTGGTCAGGGTTGTCCTTGGTCTGGAGGGTTGGGCCAGGGTCAGTTCTAGGAGCTTGCTCAAAAATAGTAGCGGGGATGTCCAAGATGTCCTGGGGAAAGCAGGTAACTCCAGTCTGGTGATGGGGTTCATTGTATTGAATTACTGAGGGAATGATTACAGTGAGGAGCCTGTTGTCCATCAGGCAACTTCCCCTTCAGGCCACCACCTCATCCACATTTTCCATCCCGCTCGCCTTGGACCTTTCAGCCTGGTTATGGGCCAACTTTTCCTGCATGAGACCAAAAAGAGGAATCGAGTATGATCCCAGTAGATGAAAGGGCAGTTAGTGGTACTGGAGGAAAAGGAGGCATACAGATTAGTAGTTTGGGAGGATGCAGTTAGTGAGAGCAGGTGAAGGGAGCGTGATTCTTGAAATAATGAGAGTTGTGATCCACAAGCCTTGGTAAGCATTGTGGGCAATGTCAGGGTTAAAGTGAGTGAGTGCATGTGTCTAAGAAAAGATGGTGGCATTAACCCTGGCAGGATGATTGACCTTAGGGTGCAGCAGTGACCTGGACTCTTATCTATGTCCATGCTAGCAGTGTCTGGAAAAAGAACAGCCCTCCTCTCCATCACAGTGTCCTGAAACACTTCAACCTCACCAGCTGTGCAATTGCTCAGAAAGGTGCTGCCGAGCCTGGATGGGTTTAATGGGGTGAAGAGCGGAAGATTGCCTGAAAAAAGATGCTCTGAGCCATAGCAGATGAGTGCCCTGAATTTCTCTCAACAAAATACTTTCACAAAGAATGGGAAAGTTCTGCCCAAAGTATTGAAAGGTTTTATCTTAAGCCATGTGATTTTTAAAATTATAAATAACGTCACTATCAACAGAGATGCAACTATGCCCCATGGTTCCTGAGGTTTACCCATGCTGGATGTTAGGTTAGTATGCGTGGAGGAGGAATGGCAAATGGTGCGGGTTGGTATAAATTGGTACAGGAGCTACAAGGGCAAAAATGATGCGTACAGGTAAACATAGTGTATGAGGGGTAACAGGGACTGGTAGAGGGACATAGGCTGGCATGGAGGGTAAGAGGTGCCAATGGGGAAGACATGTCTGCATTGGGAAGGGTTATGGGGTTTGGGGCTGGAGGAATGTTTTTGGTTTTATTTGCTTTGTGGCCTGCGGCATTCACTGCCACAGACTGTGGTTGAGGACAAAACATTGTGCGTCTTCAAGAAGAAGGTAGATTTCACTCTTGTGTGTAAAGGGATCAAGAGATATGGGGTGGGGGGGAAGAGTGGGAATAGGATATTGAGCTCAATGATCAACCATGGACAAATTGAATAGCACAACAGGCTTGAGGGGTCGAATGGTCAACTCCTGCTCCTATCTTCTCTGTTTCTATGTTTTATGAAAATGCTGTACATTACCAATGCACAGAGGCATGCTAATGTTAGCTGATAGAACTTCATTGTAGAAGTGTTTTAATTGCAAACATTTGAGCATCTTAGGTAAATATCTTCAATGCCTGAATTTAACCACTTTTAAGGAACCAAATAAATGGTTCAAAATGTCAGAATTATTGATAGAGCAATGTTCCTTTCTCACAGTGATTAGAGTTAGAAAGCTTCCTGAAGTGTTTCTTTTTGTGATTTGGAGTAAACATAATCGACATGTCTTTTACACCTACACATATGAGTAACTGTAAAATAAAGGATAATTTAAAAATCATTCTTCTTTTCTTTTAAAGGATTGTACTGTTTTCACAAGGAAAGAAATTCTGAGGTATGTCTAACATGTTATTCACATCCATAAATGTCTAAAAATGTTTGAGAACAAGTGTTTAACATAATTAAGTTGAATTGCTGTTATTGGCTGGTATAAAACATCTAAGTTAACTAATAATCAATAAGTAAAGCCAAATGTCAAGAACTCCTTCTGTGCAAAATGATTAACTTCGGCCGAACTCATATCAAACATGTAATTGCATTGTCAATATTCTCTGGAATGGTGGCTTTGATGGCAGAAGAGGCCAGCCTTCACTGAATATTACAAGCCAGAATTGCATGAATGGTGTGAGCAAAGACATAAACACAGTTAGATCTGTGGCCTAAAGCTATAGTCAGAGTGCAAAGTAATCTTTTTGACCTATGTAGAGTTGTCAAAGGAAATGTACAAACTCTAGGGGGCATATTTTTAAGGCAAGAGGAGAAAGATTTAAAAGGATCCTGAGGGACAACTTTTTCCACACGGACGGTGGTTTGTATGTGGAAGGAACTGCCAGAGGAAGTGGTAGATGCAGATACAGTGACAACATGTAAAAGACATTTGGACAGGTACACGAATAAGAAAGGTTTAGAGGGATATGAGCCAAACGCAGGCAAGTGGGACTAGTTTAGTTTGGGAAGCCTGATCGTCATAGACGTGTTGGACTGAAAGGTCTGTTTCCATGCTGTATGACTCTATGACTTGGTACCATTTTAAAAGGTTGTCAGCAAATTTTTTCATTACATCATAAAAATAAGGTGACTCAGCCCAGTTCTGCAATATTATTGTGATCGTGGGAGTGCTTGTAAATTATTGTTATCATGAGAGTGCTTGTAAATTATTGCAGCCTGAAGTGCCCGGCAGAACATTGCCTTACAAAAAAACATAACAATGAAACAGACACTGTAGAGAAGACAAATCCTGCCAACATAATTGAAGAATTTGCCAGTTATCAAGCTTGAGTAAGCCAAATATTACATAAGTGCCTTACATTTCTAATGTGCAATAGTCAGCTTCAAATGAACCTGCTGGGAATTAATTCCTGAGATGGCAGGACTTGTGTTTGAGGAGACACTAAAGAGTTACGATTATATTCACTGGTGGTCAAAATAAGAGCAGGGAGCCCTGTGCAGTTCTAATAGGATTAGACAGGTTAGATGTAGGAAGAATATCCCTGAGTCCAGAATAAGGGGTCATACTTTAAGGATATGGGATAAACCTTTTAGGACAGAAATGAGGAGAACTTTTTCACACAGATTGGTAGGCCTGTGGGATTCACTATCACAGAACATGGTTAAAGCCAAAATGTTATGTGCTTTCAAGGAGGTGGTAGATACAGCTCTCATGTCTAAAGGAATCAAGGGATATAGTGGAGGTGGGGTGAGGGTATTGAGCTTGATGATAGCCCAATACCATGGACATATTGAATGGCACAGCAGGCTTGAGGGGTTGAATGGCCGACTCCTGCTCCTATCTTCTATGTTTCTACGAATTTCAGTCTGTCATTGATATCATCTGAGCTTGAATGTTGTTGACAGCCTCCATAGGTATTCTCTAAAATGCTAGAAATGACTTAGACTGCTGAAAATCAACTTGCATGATAGGAAAATTAATCAATAATGCCATTCAGTGATACCTATTGACCAGTTATTTACTTTTTGACACATTTTAAGTTTTGCCAAAATCACTTGACATGGCTTGATCCAGACATGGACACAAAAACTGAATGCAGGTTGAGGTGGTGAGACTGACATCACTTGACATCATGACATTATTTGTTATTTTTCAGCTCTTTCTAGGAGTATACGAACCTAGAAGCAGGAGTAGGGCATTTTGAGCCTATTCTATCATTCAGTACAATCATGGCTGATCATGTACTTTGATGCCTTTTTTTCGCACATTATCCCCTTACATCTGTCAATTTCTATATTCAATTACTAAATTTCCAGAGGCCTCTGGGGCACAGAATTCCAAACCAATTCAGCACCCTTTGAGTAAAATAATTTCTTATCATCTCAGTCATAAATAGCTTCTTGCTTATTTTGAAGTTGTATCCCCTGATTCTAGACTCCCCAACCAGGGGAAATCTTACTTATATCACCGTATGTATCCCTTTAAGTAGTTTGTAAAGTTCAATGAGATCACATCAGTAATCATAGTATCATCTAAGATTGTGGAGGTGCTTTGTTAATTTTAATGTGTTATGTTATGTTACTTATCTGCTTCCTAGGATTTTTGTTGCTTCCGTTGAGTTAAAAATTTTTGTAAGCAGTGAGGGGGACAGAAAGAGGGTGCAATGATATGTGGAAAGGATAAACAAATGGGCACTGTGATAGCAAATGGGGTATCATGTAGGAGAGTATAAGGATATTCACACTGGTAGTAAAAGAATTGATAAATAGATTTTTTTTAATGCGTGAAACTTTTAAATGTTGATTTTCAGAGTGATTAGAGTGTGCTCAGACAAGGAGCATAACAAGAAGTTAGGAAGGCGAATGGCATGCTGCCTTTATTACTTTGGGATTTGAGTACAAGAGCAAGGAAGTCTTGCTACAATTATACAGGGCTTTGGTGAGACTATTCGTGGAATACTGTGTGAAGCTTTGGTCTCCATATTTAATGAAGAATATACTTTTGTGGTGGGTGGACAGCAAAGGCTCACAGGATTGTTTTTTGCTATGAGAGAGTCATCCTACAATGACAGGTTGAGAAAAATGGGCCCATATTATCTGTATTTTGGAAGAAAGTGAATATATCGCATTAAAACATACATACATGATTCAGAATGGAAATGAGAACAGAAAATGCGAGAAATATATTAGCAGGAGAAGCAGCATTTGAGGAGAGAAAAATGGAATTAATGAAGAAAGGAGTCAACATAGGAAATATTGAAAGGCTGTTTCCCCTGGGATGCTCCAACATTGAGTATCTTTAACAAAAACAAAGTTGCTGGAAAAGCTCAGCAGGTTTGGCAGCATCTGTGGAGGAGAAAACAGAGTTAACGTTTCGGGTCCGGTGACCCTTCCTCAGTTCTTCTGGATTTTATTGAGTATCTTTAAGAATGGGACAGTTAAATGTTTGGTTTCTCAGAGAATCGAGGATTATGTGGAGCAGCTGAGTAAGTGAATTTGTGACAAAGGGTCAGTTATGTTGGCCTCCTCCTAAACTATCTAATTATTTTGTAAGATGTGAAGTCTAGAACATATTGGACTAAGTCTGAGTTGGGGCAAGATGTCTGACAGATTTATGAGCCCTATGTTATCAAACTCTCACTAATGACCCACCCCATGGCATCTGTCATGTTCAACTTCCACCCCATCTTACCACGTGCTGCTCCCACGACAACTGGCCACTCACAGATATCCTTAGAAAAACCAGCACCCCTTGTGCCCACATCAGCTTTAAAATGTCACAGGGCACTCAACAAACACTGGCATTCCAAAGCAGTACTGTTCATTGACATACAGTATTGGAATATGGTGGAGAAAGAGATTTTGGCACCATGTTTCTCTGAGAGGAACCTGGAGACCCTGCTGAATAAGATGATGCAAAGGACAGGAGACCTCTTCCTTGATTTAATTGATTTGCTTTGATTTATTGCTATCAGGTATCCAGAGGTACAGTGAAATGTGCTGTCTTACATGCTGCACAGGCAGATCATACTATACAAGGTGCATCAGGGTAACAGAACAGAGTGCAGGATGCAGTGTTACAGCTGTCAAGAAGGTGCAGAAAGAGATCAACATTAACATTAGAGAGGTCTATTCAAAAGTCTGATGACAGCAGGGATGAAGCTGTTCTTGAATTTGTTTGTACTTGTTTTTAAACTTTTATATCTTCCGCCCAATGGAAGAGGGTGGAAGAGAGTATAACCAGGGTGGGAGGGGTGGATTATGCAGGTTGCTTTCCTGTTGCAGCGGGAAGTATGGATGGAGTCAATGGATGGGAAGGTGGTTTGCGTGATGGACAGGGCTGTGTTCACAAATCTCTGTAGTTTCTTGCGGTCTTCAGAAGAGCAGTTGCTATATCATGCTGTGATGCATCCAGATAGGATACTTCCTATGGTGCATCAATAAAAATTAGTAAGAGTCTTTATGAACATGCTGAATTTCCTTAGCCTCCTGAGGAAGTAAAGGAATTGTTGTGCTTTCTTAACCATTGGGTCAATGTGGATGGACCAGGACAGATTGTTGGTGGTCATCCCTCCCAGGAACCTGACGCTCTTGGCCATCTCCTCAGCACCATTACTGCAGACAGGGGCGTGCCCTCCACTCTGCTTCCTGAAGTCACTGACCAGCTCCTTCGTTTTGCTGACATTGATGGAGAGATTGGTTTCTTTACACTGTACTGCTAAGCATTCTATGTTCTTCTTGTACTCTGTCTCGTTGTTGTCTGAGATCTGACCTAGAATGGTGGTGTCATCAGTAAACTGGTAAATGGAGTCGGTGTGGAATTTGGTCACACAGTCTTCCTGGAGAACTAGCAGGGCAGGCCAAGCCACCAAACCCTGGCAGTCTAGTCTAAGGTTGCCATCTAGGTCAGTGCCATCTCCAGAGTGTGAAGGAACAGCTAGAGGTGCAGAAAGAAGGACAATAACCTTCTCCACTCTGCCAGGGTACGTGCCACATTCTTCTCTTTGCTACCTCACACTCACTCGATCTCTACCACTGCGCTTAATGCCCACCAAGACTCAGGGCTCACCATCTTCAATGTTGTCTGCAACACATTCCCTCATCTGCTCTTCCCCCTCAGTCTCCAACACTATTAACCCTGCATGGCGTCTGTGCTGCCTCCTCAGCTCTTTGGAGCACCTTCGCTGCGCCCCCCCCTCCAATGCACCAACACCAACACCAACACCAACAGACATGCCAACCACAGTCATCTCACTCATTTCTCCCATGTCTCTCTTTACGGGAGAAGGAAACCGAAAAAGGACAGAAAGAACCCAAACAAGTGTGGTGGGTCCCCATCATCCATGTCCTCCCCCATGATTGAGACCACTCTTGTAGAGATGCTGAGACACCCATGACATGTCAGACAGGTAAAACCACTGCCAGTCTCCCATTAACTGTACCATCAGTGTCACTCATTGAACACCACTGTCAGTCACTGGCCAAGATGCCTTCTTTCTCTTTGGTCTTGCAGCTTTCTCCAACTTCCTGATGCTGTCTGCCGAGAAGCAGCTGACTGTCCTCCTCGTCCCCAGTGGTGAGGGAGTCAAGGCCTCAAAGAAAGTATCAGCCCCATGCATCGCCTTACAGCCCAGATACTGACACTTCCGGTGGGATCTATAGTCACCGAAAGTGTGGGATTACAGTTTAGTGAGCACTTTGCTGTGACAGCTCTGGAGCTGGCAGAGGAAGGAATGGCCCAGGCAGGACAGGACCCTGTGATGTCAGTACTCAGGGACTTTGTCGACATGGACAGGGACGTACAGGAGCAGCAGGCGGTATATGGGACAGGGGTATCGCTCTCGTTGTCCCGAATCTGCTATAGTTCAGTGAGTCATGTGACTGTCTGGCTGCCTCTATGGAGAGCCATGTCCAACATCCACAAAGTCTGCCAGACAGGCACACACTCCTGCACTCCACTGTCCCAGCCACTGGTCCTCAGGGCTGAAGCTATGGTGACAGGGGTACAGAGAACCTTGACCCCAGTTCAGTTGCCCGATCTTCACAGAGAGATGGGGGCACCCAGTTGGAGGTGGTGCCCATTCACAAGCCTCTCAGGCTTTTCCCCTCATGACATTGCAGAGAGGACCATGCCTTCCACCTCCACCTTACCTGCCACCAACCCCCACCCCTCCCCACCCTCTCCCAATATTTGGAAATTCAAGCTGAGGTGGGCAAGAATGTCTGGCACATTGGGAAACAAGTGGCTCCTGCCCGGGTCCACACATTAAACCACCAGTGCCAACAGGCTCCACACCAGACCAGGCACTGCCCACCTCATCTGAGCTGTGGGAACCAGGGAGCTCAGTGAGACCTAGTGAGTCTCTCCGTGTGCGTGCTCAATGTATCTCCATAGCAGCTGGCAGCAGCTCATGTCAGCACACACAAGCTGTGAAGGACAGAGCTTGGTATAGACAGCTTACTGCATCCTGTGTTTGCAGGGGAGATCAATGTGAACACATGGTATTGGCTGCTGCTGGCACCTTTGGCTTTACTGGGTGAAAACATCCCCAAATGTTTGGCTCCATCTTTGTGCAAAGGTTGCGCTGTGAGAGATTTGTCCAGCAGTGGCTGATCCCTCTAACGAGTGACTACGCTGTAGAGTGGCCAGGGAGTAAGCAGCCCCCTTAACCATGTGCTACATTTTTCTTAGGCCCGAGCCCGCTTTTGTTCCCCTTTAAAAGCCCTATTTGTGGTTGTTGGCATAGCTCCCTCCCTCACAGACTATTCCACTTACCCTGTGCACTCTCAGTGTGATCACAGGCATTTTCTTCCCATCACGCACGTTTGATTCCAGCACAATGGAGATGGTGTGAGATTGATGTAGCATACCACCCTACAGCAAGATATTTACCTCCTACGCTGAGAATTGCTTAGCAACAAGGCAAGCTGCCTGTTTCTGTGACTGGGGTAACTGGAATGGCAATGGCAAGGATGCTGTGAACTAAGTGACTGAGTGCTGTGAATGCAAGTGAACAGCCCAGCGATGCAGCTTCGTTCAGTTTGTCAGCTGGCTGCCGCTCACTGTGGGCAAAGTAGCCACCGCAGCCCTTCGCTACAAATTGCTGGTTCGTCCTGCAACACCATCCTGCACGCACTGCCAATGTACTGTAGATGTACCATGATGATTGGCAGATAGTGGATATAAACGTGAATGGAGGAGGAGTACGTTTGGCTGGTGCCTGTGGATCGTGCCCTGAGATGTTGTTGGCTGGTGACCAATACGGAGGTGGTTCACAGGAAGTGGCGATCTGAATCTGCCAGGAACAAGCTCTGGTTTCCTTGTTGAGTTTTCCCAACGTCTAATTTTTGATGACTTGGCTCAGACAGGAGACTGAAAATTAATCAGGTGAGTTGTGGCATTAACAAGACATCGAACAATGGATAATGAGGGTCATTTGTCAACCCGCTGCTGCCCAGTGAGAAACTTCCAATGCTACTTGTGAAAAGCACAAAGGATGGACCGAGATGATGTCAATGTCAATGTCAATTCTGTCACACATTCCCTTGGCTGTTAAACCCAAGCTTGGCATCAGCTGATCATGGCATCCTGATTTATCTTGTTTTCCCTTGTACCTTTTCCCTGGTGTCCTAAACTTCATCTTGGACTGAGTTTAAAGAAATCTGTCTTGAGTTGGCTATAATGAGCTTTGGAAGTAGTATGCTTTCCATATTCCTATTGAATTGTTTTTTATTTCATTCATCGAATGAGGGTGTCACTGGCCAGGCAGCATTTATTGTCCATCTCTAATTGCCCAGAGGGCAGTTAAGAGTCAACCACATTGCTGTGGGTCTGGAGTCACATTTAGGCCAGACCAGGTAAGGGTGGCAGTTTCCTTCCCTAAAGGGCATTAGTGAACCGGGTGGGTTTTTCTCCGACAATGGATTTGTGGTCATTTTATTGAATTCAAATTCCACCATCTGCTGTGATAGGATTCAAACTCAGGTCCCCAGAACATTATATGGATCTCAGGATTAACAGCCCAGCAATAATACCACTCCGCCATCACCTCCCCAATATCTCAATTGTTGTGTCCAAAATAATCTTTTTGAAACCTATCTTGCATTCTTCAAAGCATAGAGTATTGAATCTGATATTTTCTCGGCTCAGCAAAATAGATTGATGTCTTTAAGAACTAGTCTCTTTATTTCTCATTATTTATAAAGTATTACTATGCAGAAAATGAATCTTTTTTGTTTTGGTAGTGATTACTGTTTTGTTTTGGTTTCTGTTTTCTTTCAGGTTATATCACCGATATCATTCCTTGGCACCAGAGATTGTTCCATGTCACTTCAATGATTGCGCAGATATCAAACTACCTCTGGAACTCATTAACGAGATGCCAGAGCTAAAGGTACTAGTCAGAGATTGGATGACAATAACCCTTTATTTCTCCTGGTTGAGACATGTGATACTTTGTTGACATTGCCCTAATTTCAATTTTTTGTCCCATTTAGTCCAAATGAGGTAACTAAGTAGCTAAATATCGTACATGGGCTTATACTGTGTTTCAGATGTGGTTCTGTCTTTATTGCTGGAATTCTAGCAGGCTGGAAGCTGCCAATTCGGCAGGAGAATGGGGAAGTTTCTGTTCAATGACATGATCAGGGTCATGATTTTAACTCAAGGATTAGGAGCTCAAGCACTGAACTCGAGCAGAAAATGACGGAAGCCAGCATCAGACTCGAAAAGACTTTGGCAAATGTTTTACACATTTTTTCAAAGATCCTTGTTGTTTAACAGGATCATTGCTCTATTTCCATTCTGAAGATAGCTATGATCAATGGGAATTAACTGTCTTCTGGTAAATTATTGAAATGATAATTTTTATTTGTGAGACTTGAATGTCACAAGGCTATTTGACTGTTGAAAAGGAAGCATGACCTTACCCCAGTCTGATTCAACTCTTGTCTGTGATCTAAGGGCAATTTCCAGTAAAAATCACAGAATGACAACACCAAAATTACTACTTCATACCCTTTAGCACATGGATTTATCCGAGGTATATTCCGATTTGTGCTTGAACATCAAAATTCTTTCTTTTTCCAGGAAAATCCCTTTCACCAAAAAGTTCTTCAAGTATTTTCTGAGGATAAGCAGAATAACATGTCATTTAACGACTTTCTAAATATGTTCTCTATCTTAAGTGATCTGACACCTCAGCACTTAAAGGCACATTACGCATTTAAAGTTTACGGTAAGTATTCAAATGGTGACTGAATTCTGGTAACAGAATGGATAGAAATCTTTTGTAAATTAAATGAAGTTTGGACCTTTCTTAATCGAAAGCTAGGATATCCTTTATTGTCACGTGTATTAAGTACAAAATACAGTGAAAAGTGTTCATCGAGAACTATACTTGGCTAGCTGGTATAAAAATCAAGTTACTCAGTTGCATGGGTAATGAAATAAAGCCTACATAAAACAATAAAAAAGGCTTTGTCTTCTAGATGGGATCTTTATACAAGAATCCTCAAATAATAAGTACCATTGAAAATTAGAGAACTGCCATAATTCATTCATGATTCTCTGCATCTTCAATCTTTATCACTCATCATAGTATCTTCTGCTTATTGCAAAATCTTAATGTAGAATAACTTTAAATCTTTTACAATTCTCAGGCTTTTTATGTGACCCATTTACTTTGCTGAACCGGTGCTCTCCTTTCCTGCTTGTTTCAACTTTGGTAGCTTTCTGCTATTAAAACCTTGGTTTTCAACGTTTAAAAAAATCAAACAGTTCAAATTGTTAACAAAAATGCACAGAACAATTTATAGGCCTACAGAATTTCAGGATATGTCATTGCTGTAACTGTGTCTTATTTTACATAGACTTCAACAGTGATGACTTCATTTGCCAATCAGATGTGGAGGTGATGCTTGCTAAGCTTACAGGCGACGAACTGTCAGATGAAGAAGTTCAATTGGTGTGCAATAAAGTCATGGAGGAAGGAGACTTAGATGGTGATGGAAAGCTTTCTTTCACCGACTTTGAGTACATGATCACTCGTGCTCCAGATTTTATGAGGTAATTTTAAGCCAGTTTGCAACAGTTGTCTTTTCTGTTATACTGTTTTAATTTGCCCATCTCGTGAAGATACTGAATCGTGTACAATGCAGTTTCATAGTACGTGGTGCTAGTGGTCATCTAGTCATTCAAAAGACCAGTCTTCATGTCTGAGTCCTTCTCAAGAGAACTAATGGTCCAGGGGACACAAAATAATGCAGCATAACACAGTGTAGAGCTGGAGGAACACAGCAGGCCAGGCAGCATCAGAGGAGCAGGAAAGTTGATGTTTCAGGTCGGGACCCTTCTTCAGAGATTTCCTGCTCCTCTGAAGCTGCCTGGCCTGCTGTGTTCCTCCAGCTCCACTCTGTGTTATCTCTGACTCCAGCATCGGCAGTTCTTGGTATCTCAAAATAATGTAGCATATTGTGAGTAAAGTTCACTGCTTTGCTGCAGTTGATGCTGAAATAACTGATTCCAACAGGGGTTTCAGTCAGGGTTTTGCAATTGCAAGGAGAATATTGGTCCTAAATTATTATCCAAGACAGTGGCAAAAAGTGCACTTTCAAGTGCATCAGTCAATATAAGAAAAGCCTTGGCTATGTTCCTCCCACTCACTGTTAAAAGAATTAATAGCAGTTTGGTGAGTTGACAGATGATACAGAGTACTGGTGGATCATTACCTACAGCAAGGACACTTGATGAAACTAGGAAAGGAGGAAAATTGCTCTGAAAAATTAGAAGTGGCTAGTCAATAAGGCAGGAGGTCATAGCGATCCTCAATCACATGCATGTTCATTTTTTCTGGTTGTGACTACAGGATAGCGATTACAAATGGAATTCTGGAATTCCTGCTCTTGAGCACAGGGCTGTTACATCCAATTGCCACAATTCCCTTGGGTGAGGTCAGATAACACAACACAGATCCAGATTAAATCTGTTTGGTCTGTATGATTGTAAAAACAGCTCAGCTGTATTTAAAAATGGACTTAAGAAGAGACTCAAAATCATGAATACAACTGAGCTAAAGATTAAAACATTGATTAACAATGTAAATAGGGTAAGAGACATGAATGTGTGGCTTAAAGATTGTTGATGGGGAAATGAGTATTGTTTCTTGAGGCACCAGCATTAGTACTGGGGAAAGTGGGAGCTGTACTGTTGGGACAACCTACAGCTGAATGGTAATGGGACCAGTATTCTGGAAAATCATATAACTAGGGTAGTCAATAGGGCTTTGAACTAAATGGTGGGTGAAGGGATCTAGTGAAAGGGAGATATAGTTGAAAAAGATAAAGGTAATATTGCCATTGGCTTATCATATCACAGCACTGGTAGTTGCTTAACCTGAGGGTCACCACACCTCAGGTGAGGGGAGAGGTTGAAAAGCAGAATTGTCCATGGTAACCTCAGCAGGAGCAGGAACTGAACCTTATGCTGGTGGCTTCTCTATTTATCACAAACCAGCCATCCAGCCAACTGAGCTGACTCCTGGTGATGTAGTAAAGGGAAACAACAAAGTAATACCGTAGGGCAGCAAATTAGGTAATAATTATTAGTGTGTGACAGGACAAGACAGAACATCTAAACCTAAGAGTGCACCAGGAGGTAAGGCCAGAGATTGTTTAAAACTGTTTAAGGCATTGCCTGGATCATTTACAACAAAAGGGATGAATTGTGAGCACAGATAGAAATTTCTACAACCTGTTAGGAATTATGAAGACATGGATGAAAGATGGCCAAAGCTGAGATCTTAATGTTGCAGATTAATGTTGACATATCAGTATGATAGAAAACTGAAAAACGGGTGATGGGGTAGTTTTGTTAAGTAAGGGTGGTTTTATTTCAGTACTGAGAGATGTCCATTAATTCAAAAAATTAAGTCGTAAAATCAGCTTGGGTAGAGATGAGAAATTATGAGAGCACTTTTTACGAACACAAATATGAACATGCGAATTAGGAGCAAAAGCCATTTGGCTCCTTCAGCCTGCTCCACAAGTCAGTAAGATCATGGTTTAGAGATAGTAGGCATTTTGAATGCTACATTCCTATCTAACCTAATAATCTTTCATTTCCTTGCCAACAAGAATCCATCAATCTCTGCCTTTAAAACATTCAACGGCCCTGTCTCCATAGCCTCCTGAGTTTAGCAGTTGCACAACCTGCTGAGTGAAAATAAATCCTCCGCATGTCTATACCAAAAGGGCAACCTCTAATTTTTGAACAGAGGCTTCTAGTTCTGAACTCACCCTTGTGAAGCTCGTTCAGCATCTTATACACTTCAATCAAGTCAACCCCTATTCTTCGAAACTCTAGTGGAACCAAATCCAGATTATACAAGCTCTCCTTAGAAGATAACCCACTCGTTTCTGGTATCAATCTAATAAACCTGTTCTAATCCACCTCCATACATTTGTATTCTTCCTTAAATAAGGAGACCAAAACAACACCCAGTATTCAAGATGTTATCTAACTAATTTTCTATATAACTGAAGCGTAACATCCTTACTTTAATATTCAATTCCTTTTGTAATATGGCTTAATATTCCATTATGTAAAATAAAACACCAAGTGCTGGAAAGGATAGATAAAGGTAAACTGGTTAATGTCATATATTTGGATTTCCAAAAGATATTTGATAAGGTAGTCACGCGACTTAATAACATAAGACGCCATGGTATTGGGTGTACTCTATTAGCATGGGTACAGGATTGGCTAACTAATAGAAGAGAGAGTGAGAATAAGGAGTGCATGTTTAGGATGGTAGCTGTAACTTGTGGAGTGCCACGGGGATCAGTGCCAAGGCCACAATTATTTACTATATATATGGTAATGGACTTGGGTGTGGGATGTGAATGTATTATAGCCAAAGTATTGGCAAGGCAAGTCAACAACCGTATTATAGCCAAGTTTATAGATTACACAAAGATATGTGGGAAGGCAAGTGGATATGAAGAGTCTGCACAGGGATATAGACAGATTAAGTGAGGGTGCAAAAACTTGGCAGATGGCACATAATGTGGGAAAATGTGAGGTTATACACTCTGGTAGGAAGAGAAAGCTAAATATTATTAAAAGAAGAGGCTGCGAAAGCTACAGTGGAGAGGGATTTAGATGCCCTTGTGTATATAGCACAAAAAAGTTAGCGTCCAAGTTCAGCAGGTATTGGGAAGTCAAAAAGAATTTTGGCCTTTATTTCAAGTGAAATGGAATATAAATGTTGGGAAGCCTGATGTGCAGAGGTTGTTTCACCCTTTTGGAGAGTGTAGGAACAAGGGGCATAATCTTACATTAAGGGGTTGCTCATTTGGGACAGAGATGAGGTAGAATTTCTTCTCCAAGAGGACAGTGAATTTCTGGAATTCTTTGTCACTTTGAGGGCTATAGAGGTTGGGTCTTTTAGTACATTCAGTGCTGAGATAGACAGATTTTTAATCCGTAAGAGAGTAATGGTAATGGAGAAATGGCAGGAAAGTGGAGTTGAGGACTATCACGATCTCCTTGATTGACAAAGCAGACTCAATGGCCCAAGTAGGCTACTTCTGCTCATACATTTTATGATCTTATGGTTGTGTTAGGTAAATTTCAAATAGACTCAGTACAGTCAAAAGATATGGGGTGCAGGCAGGAAAGTGGAGCCAAGGCCACTACCAAACCAGCCGTGATTCTCCGGAAAGTTGGAGCAGGCTCAAATAGGCAAATGTATGCTGCTGCCGCTGCCAGTGAGGCAACCGAGAGCGGGATGCTAGTGTTGTCATGGCGTGGGCTATAAAGCCCGGACTGGGACTCTAACGGAGGCGTGGCGTGGGCTGGAAAGCCGGAGCGGAACTGTGGCAATGGAAGGGAAAGTTGGACTCTCTTAAGTTATCTTTTTTCCTTATCTTATTCTAAGTTAATGTGAATGGTGCCATGTATGTTCGGAGAAGGTACACACTTTTCACTGTATTTTTGAATACACGTGACAATAGATGATTCAATTCAATTCAATAGTGGTCATATCAAATCTGACCAAATGTCATATCCTCAACAAACCATTGAATTGAAGAGTGATTAAAAGATACCAGCTTAGTCAGAACGAGCTACAAATGAATACTGACTAGTATTTGGAAATAAAAGTTTGACAAAACTATTCCTTTGATTTGAAGTGTTCAAGTGTGTCTCAACCAAACAATCTCATGTTTTCCGTCAAATATATAGAGATATTACTGAAAAATTTACATTTTGTTTGAATTCTGACATGACTGAAATCGGAATGGCAGAAGGAAAATTTACGTTCAGCTCAGGTGAGATTTCCAAATTTTGAATCATAACATTTCTGTGAATTTTCTTTTGCAACAGCACCTTCCACATTAGAATCTGAAGTATTAATATTATTGAAACCCATGAGCACCATCAAGATTGACTGCTACACAACCAAATATCTTCAGCTAGCTCTACTCTGATATGATATAGCTTTTTACAAAGGAGGAATCCATACTCACAATAATGCAAGAGACGAAAGGGCAACCACTACAGTTTCTGGAGAGTTGAAAGAAAACCAAAGTGATGGCAGAACTAGGTAGGACGCTCAGCATCTATGAAGAGATAGAAACAGTTAACAATGAGTCCATTGACTGCTCTGAAGAAGTGATATTGGACTTGAAACATTGACTGTGTTTCTCATATTCTAAGAGTCAATTAATTTCTTTGAGACAGCATTTGTATTATATATAAATCTACATGTTCTCTGTAAAATAATGAGGAAATTTACTAAACCAAATGGCTTGAATTTAGAGTATCCAGAACTATATTCTGTCTCATTCAAATGTTAATCATGCACAAGCATATTCCAATATGAAGGAAAGCTTTAACAGAATGCAAAATTTTTTAAAAGTAATGAATTGGACCAAACAGAAAGAACATTTTAACATATCTATTTTGGGTTCTTCTGGAGCTGTGGTAGTGTCCCTACCTTTTGGCTAAAAGATCCAGATTCAAGTCCCATGGCATCATAACAGGATTGTTCAGGTTGATTCTTTTTAAGAAAATCCATCTCAGATAAAGTTTTCTGGATATTTCTTCCTTGTGTTTCAACCTTACTGTTCAGTTTGACTGCCATACTCAGGCACAGATTCCCAGTGCTTTGTTCCTGGGGAAACATCTGTTACCATGCAAATATGATTCATTCACGTAAATGTATGCACTGTCCAGGTGGAACAAATAAAGACTCTTACACACAACAACTGAAATAAGGGAAGATGACCACTGAGTGATGTTTCGAAAGGGAGAGTAATGCTCATATTTTGAATAATTTTATCCTGCTTCCCTTTCTTTAAATTGTATTTTCCCAGGCTGCATAATGTTCATTAAGAGGGTGGACAAGTAAAATTTTCTCATTTCTTTTGATCTCCTTTTGATGTCACTTTAATCGTTCCTGCAAGAAAGTGCAATAAATTCTGCAAAACAGAATGAGAGTTATTCATATTTTTTCCTATTTGTGAACTTTGCTGTCCTCTTTTGGCACTACTGCATTTTGTTTGCCAGCTATTGTAGAAACAACATACAAAAAACTCTGCAATATATTCAACATATCAGTCTTAGAAAGTACATATTTCTATTTGGAAAATAAATTATTATTCTTCAGAGCTGATCAGAACAAAATTAAAAATATACAGAAAGAAATCAGGCTGTTTTAAAGCAATGAACAGAACTGTCGCACATTATATCAATGATGAAATTTTTGCACTGTGCAACTTATTGACAATGTACACCTTCATTCCAGTTGCTGCATGTTTAGGGTATAAATACAGTTAACTGCTTAATTAATAAACTGACAACTGCAGAACACAATAGTACAGAAGAAATTGTGTTAGTGATAGACAGAGTATCTAATTACAAGCAAGTAATCTGATAAGATGGCAGCAGATATTTTATATGCATATTATCTTTAAATAGGTAGAAACATATTCAGACTTACGGTTATTTACAATTCACATTGCATATATCTACACATGACTTTCCTCTCAATGTCTCAATTCAACACTAAGCATTCAATACTGGCATCACTCACTACATTTTAACAGTCTGTGTTTGATGTAGGCCAAATCAGACAACGTCTCTTCTTTACGGGTTTAAAGCTTAAAACTAAGACTAGCATTGCTGGAATTGTCAGTGCTAACATTGCTGCAGGGTATTTTCTATACAGTACACACTGGCCACTCCGTACCAGTGGAGAGAATGAGTGTGAATCGGGTGAATAGGTGAATAGGGTGCCATCTACAAGGAAGCATCCCAATGAGCAGCACCAGCTCCATCTCTCTCCACAGTCTTTCTAAAATGTAGTTCAGGTGTCCTCATTTTTAATGCTGGAATCTCTGGGACTGTTCACCTTTTGTTATGCAATCTCTTCTGATGAGAAAGTTATGGGCGTTAGTAATAGCTTGTATGGAGAAGAAATGACACCATTTATGAGGGATGTCTGAGGCATGGGTGTGAGTGGACAGTATGGTGAAGGGGAGTGTCTGTATTCATGGCTAAAAGGGGGACAGCCTTTTGAAGTCTAGTGTCCATTCAGACCCACGTCAGAATTTCTTCCAATTAAATTCTTCCCTTTGACTGATATAATGTGCCAGGCCAAGCATTTTTGCTGGCTGCTCAGTAAAACTGGAAGGGATATGATGGTGTTGCTGAATTAAATGTACACTTCTTTGAAAGATAAGTTCCAATCCTGCTCTTTACACTTAACGTCTATTGAACCTTGAATAGATCAGACTTGGTGCGTTGTGAGTAGATTGAGTTTCCAGAATGTTAAAACATTAGTACATGGAGCACTGGAAAAGGTGAACTAAATGTTACTATTACAAGAGAACTGAGAGATTATACTTGTCGGGAAAGATTGAACTAATTGGGATGAAAAACAGAAAGTGCTCATTTTCAGATCTTCTGCAGTATTTTGCTTTTATTTGAATAAGCTGGGGCTTTTTTTCTGTAGAGATGATCTCATGGAGATCTTTCAGATTATGAAATGGTTTGATAGAGTGGGTGTTAAAAGAAGTTTCTACTTGCAGGCCTTGCAGAATTAGGGGCCATAAATATAAAGGTAGTAACTAATAAATCCAATATAGAATTCAGAAGAAACCTCTTTACCCAGAGAGTGGTTAGAACGTAATACCCACAATAAGAAATAGTTGAGATGAATTGCAGGGATACATTTAAAGAGAGCTAGATAAATACTCCAAAACAATCTGCAATCTCATGGCCCATCAAATGCCCCACTCAAACCTACCGTCAAAGCCCAGGATCAAGCCTGGTTCAATGGAGAGTGCAGGAGGGCACGCCAGGAGCAGCACCAGGCATACTTAAAAATGATGTGCCAACCTCGTGAAGCTACCAAACAGGATTACTTGCATGTCAAATCACATAAGCAGCAAGTGATAGATAGGGCTAAATGATTCCACAACCAACAGATGAGATCTAAATTAAAAAGAACAAAAGAACTGCAGATGCTGGAAATCAGAAACAAAAACAGAAATTGCTATGGAACATCAGCAGGTCTAGAGCATCAGTGGAGGGAAATCAACATTAACATTTCGGGTCCAGTGACCCTTCTTCAGAATTCCAGTTTCTGAGGAAAGGTCATCGGACCCAAAACGTTAACTCCGATTGCCTCCACAGATGCTGCTAGACCTGCTGAGATTTTCCAGCAATTTCAGTTTTTGTTTAGGTGGGAGACAGAGGGTGGTGGGGATGGAAGGTTGCTTTTCAGACTGGAGGTCTGTGACCAGCAGTGTACTGCAGGGATTGGTGCTGGGGCCACTGCTTTTTGTTCTTTTATACAACTGATGTGGATGAGCAGATCAGAAATTCAGAATCTTGCTGTTTGTAACTCACCTCCTGACTTCCCAAAAGCCTGTCCACCGTCAACAAGGCATAAGTCAGGAATAAGAAGGAATACTCCCCACTTGCCTGGATGGGTGAGCTTCAACGACACTCAAAGTTTAACACCATCAAAGACAAACCAGACCACTTGTTTAGCACCACATGCCCAAGTATTCACTCCCTCCACCACCCACACACAGTAACAGCAGTGTGCACTACCTACAAGATGCACTGTGGAAATTCAAAGACCCTCAAACACTACCTTCTAAACCAATAGCCACTTGCATCTCGAAGAACGAAGGGATGCTGATAGGCAGGAGGGCTGCTGCCTGCAAGTTCCCCTGCAAGCCACTCACCATCCTGACTTGGAAATATATTGTTGTTCCTTCAATGTCACCAGATCAAAATCCTGGAATTCCCTTCCTAATGGCACTGTGGGTCGACCTACAGCACATGAACTGCAGTGGTTCAAAAAGGCAACTCCATGGCGATCTCCTATATCGGCCCTTATCCTTCCAGAGGTCAACGTCATGGGCTTGGAAGTGCTTTTAAAGGATCTTTGATAAATTTTTGCAGTGCACCTTCTAGATGGTACACATTGCTGCTACAGGACATTAGTGGTAGAGGAAGTCAATGCTGAAGGTAGTAGATAGGATCCTGAATAAGTGGCTGCTTTGTCTTGCATGGCGTCAAGTTTGAGAGGTGTTGCAACTGCACTCATTGGACAAATAGAAAGTATTCCATCAAACTCCTGAGTTGTGCCTGAAAGATGGTGGATAGAGTTGGGGGAGACAGACGGTGAGCGACCCACCACAGAATTCCTATCTTCTTACAGGATTATAAATTCAGAAGGCGTAGAATCTGTGTGGTTAGAGTTGAGGAACCACAAAGGGGGAAAAAAAGGACCTTGAATGGAGTTCTGAGCAGTAATGAGAATGTGGGAGAAGGAAAATCAGGAGATTGAAAAGGCATAAAAGAAAGGGACTATTAAAATAATGATGGGACACTTCAATACACAGGTGGTCTGGGAAAATCAGGTTGGAAGCAGATCTCAAGAAAATGAATTCATTGAATGTCTGAAAGATTTTTTTTTTGGAGCAGCTTATAGTAGAGACCATTAGTGAACAAGAAATTCTGGATTTAGTCATGTGTAATGAGACAGACTTGATTAGGGAGCTTAAGGAACCCCTAGGGGGCAGTGACCACAATAGAATAGAATTCACCCTATAGTTTTAGAGGGAGAAGCTGGAATTAGATGTGATGGTATTACAATTGGGTAAAGGTAATTACAAAGACATGAGGTAGGAGCTGGTCAGAGTGAGTTGGAAGGGGAGATTAGCAGGGAAGACTATGGAGCAACAACTGCATTGAGTATGTGGAGATAACTTTGGATACATTTCTACTGTGCCTACCAAGGAAGAAGAAACATACAAAGGGAGGATAAGGCAATCATGGCTGACAAGGAAAGTCAGGGGCAGTACAAAAGCAAAAGAGAACGCATACAATGTAGTGAAGATTAGTGGGAAACCAGAGGATTGGGAAACCTTTAAAAAACAGAGGATAACTAAAATAAGCAATAAAGTTAGGAGAAGATGAATATGAGAGTAAGCTAGCTTGTAATATAAATGAAGATTGCAAGAGTTTTGTTTTTAAAGATATATAAAAGGTAGGAGAGAGGCAAGAGTAGAAACAGTAGACATTGAACCACTGGAAAATGAGGCTGGGGAAGTAGTAATGGGGAACAAATAAATGGTAGAGGAACTGAATACATACTTTGCATCGGTTTTCACAGTTGAATACACCAGCAGCATACCAGAACTTCAAGAGAGTCAGCAGGCAGAAGTTATTGTACTGGCCATCACTAAGGAGAAGGTGCTGGGGAAGCTGAAAGATCCACAGAGGGATCAAACTCCTGAACTAGATGCACTACACCCCGGACTTCTGAAAGAGAGCGGAGGAGGTTTTAGATGCATTGCTAGTGATCCTTCAGGAATCACTGAAGTCAGGGAGGGTCTCACAGGACTGGGAAATGGCTAATGTAACACCCCTGTTTAAGAAGGGAGACAGATGAGAAATTATGGGCCAGTTAGTCTGATCTCAGTTGTTGGTAAGATTTTAGAACCCATTATGTAGAATGAGATTGTGGAGTACTTGCAAATGCATGGTAAATAGGGCTGAGTCAGCACAGTTTCATCAAGGGAGGATATGCCTTACAAATCTGTTAGAATTCTTCAGGGAGGTAATGAGCCAGATATACAAAGGAGAGCCAGTGGACGTGATCTGTTTTGATTTCCAGAAGCCCTTTGACAAGGTGCTCCATGGGAAGCTGCTAAATAAGAGCTCATGGTGTTAGGGGCAAGGGACTGGCATGGATAGAGGGTTGGATGACTGGTAGAAGGCAGAGAATGGGAATAAACGGTTTTGTTTTGTTTTTATTAGTGGAGCTCTGCCGAGGTCAGTGTTGAGACCCCAACTCTTTATGTTATACTTTAAATGATCCAGATGAAGGAACTGAGGGTATTGTTGCTAAGTTTGCAGAGGACACAGAGACAGGTAGAGGGACAGGTAATGTTGAGGGAGCAGGGAGGCTGCAGGAGGACTTGGACAGACCACAAGAGTGGGCAAAAAAGTGACAGATGGAATACAATGTGGGAAAGTGTGAGTCATGCATTTTAGTAGCAAGATTAGAGGCATAGACTATTTTCTAAATGGTGAAAGTCTAGTTTCTAGGATGGTCTAGTTCAAGATCCTCTCAAGGTTAAAATGTAGTTTGGAGTTAAGGCAGCAAATGCCATGTTACATTCACTTCAAGAGGGCTAGTAGGGATATACTGCTGAGGCTGTACAAGGCTCTGATCAGTCTGCATTTGGAATAGTGAGCAGTTTTGGGTCCCATATCGAAGGATGGATGTGCTGGTTTAGAAGGGAGTCCAGAGGAGGTTTACAAGAATGGTCCCGAGGATGACGGGCTTGTCACGAGGAGCAGCTGAAGACTCTGGGTGTGTACTCAATGGAGTTTAGGAGGATGAGGGGGTTTCTGATTGAAGCTTACAGAATACTGCAAGGACTCGATAGAGTGGATGTGGAGAAGATCTTTCCACTAGTAGGAGAGACTAGGATCCAAGGGCACAAACTCAGTGAAGGGATGACCTTTTAGAGCTGAGACGAGAAGGAATTTCTTCAGCCAGAGGGCTGTGGAGCCAAGTCACAATGTATTTAAGACAGAGATGGATAGGTTCCTGGTGAGTAACTGGATCAAGGGTTAGAGGAAGAAGGCAGGAGAATGGGGTTGAGAAATATATCAGCCATGAACAAATGGCAGAACAGACTCAATGGGCCGAATGCTCTAATTCTGCTCCTCTAACTCATCTGTTTTGTCTTATGACCTGCTGTTGTTGACACTGTATTTATATAACAGGTCCAATTCAGTTTCTGGTCAACATTTTATATCATAATCACTGGTTACGTTTTCTCCCCCCAAACAGCAGATGCTGGTAATGTTTCAGCTATTCCCATTTGAAAATCATCTCAGTGCTATTGTTTTTCCCCCGTTTATACTTTCAAATAAACATGTCACCTGATGTTAATTAATTTGCTTTATCTGACATTTGGACTCACTTAAAACCCATTAAATCTGCAAAGTTTTGCAGTTTTGACAAAAGATCGTGCATCTGAAATGTTACTTCTGTTTCTCTCACCACAGATGTTTTACAGTGCTTCTGATTTACAATTCAGACTTCCAGCATCCAGAGTAACCTCTCAGATAACTATGAATGAAAAAGGCTCAAGAAACAACTTTGATACTCACATTGTCATTTTTAATAGTTGTACAAATTATTTTCCTGCATACACATTAAAGAACAGATCACTGGCATACAAAAAAGCTAATTACAGAACATGAATGGAGTGAAAATATAAACACATCAGAATAAGCAGCTTTTTGCAATTATTAACAATACTTTGTAATGTGAAAAATCTATTCAAAAATAGAATTGTGCAAAATACTCATTGGAGACCGTACATCATATGCCCTGCACACGCAGGTCAAGATAAACTTTGTATCTTATCTCAGAGAAATAGAAGCATTTTATTTTATAGTGATAAACATATCGAAAGTATCATCTCTCTTCGGCCACATGTTGACACACACTTGAAATCTTCAGCCTGAAAGACAATTGTGTCAATTATAACATCAAAAAATCCACACAATTTGTGCTAAGTTTACTGCCTCATTCTATTAGAATTCAAATAAAATTAGAGGCTGCTTTTCATAGCTTAGTGACGATATTAATGTCTAGGACAAAATCCTACTCGATAACACTTATCATAGATAGTCAGGAGATATTTTTGTAGTTATAAATGCTACAATTGACAACTGTAAGACCACAAGACATAGAAGCAGTCTAGCCCACATGCTATCTCATTACCATTGATAGTTTCATTACTGGAGATGTTTGCCTGAATTGTGCAAAACACTCATTAGCAAATCTTTAATCACCAGGTAAAGACCAGTCTCTGAATGCCACTCCCCATGTCAAGTGTAGTTAATATCTCCTTTTCATCCTTGTAGATGGTGAAAGCAGCAGCTGTCATGTAAAGCTATTCCACCCTCATTAGCTTCAATGGAATCTTTTTTGTCTTTTCTTTGCTTTTCACTGATACATCCAGTCACATAATTCAACTCTCCTAGCAAAACAGCACTCACTGGGAACCTGGGGTCATAGAAAGGGCTGCAAGACAGTACTCCACAAGAGTGCAGCTTCCCATATAACAGGGGATGTCTTTTTCTGAATTTCCCTCCTTCGTACATTCTCCCTATTGAAATCATGATTCACCAGTCTCCTATTGAAATTGGATTTTTTTGCCAAGAAACAAGATGTAGGAACACCTAGTTTCCATCATTACATCACTTAATAACACAGTGCATCATTCAAAACCATCTCACTATACATTCCCACAGGTTTTCCATCACGAAATAGGCTTAAAAATAGTATCCATCATGATTTATCATATGAATGATTGAGAGGACAGAACTAAATGTAATATCTCCAGGTTTGCCGATGACATGGAATTGGGTGGGAGATGGACATAGAGATGATTCAGGTGTAATTTGGATGAGCCGAGTGGGCAAAAGCATGGCAGATGAAATACAAATGTGGATAAATGTGAGGTTATCCACTTTGGTAACAAAACAGGAAGGCAGGTTATTATCTGATTGGCACTAGATTGAGCAGGGTGGGTGGGGGGAGGGGGAAGGAGAGAGAGCCATCCTTGTACACCAATCACTGAAAGTAAGCGCTTGGGGCAACAGGTGGTTGACCTTCATAGCGAGAGGATGCAAGTACAGGAGCAAGGATGTCTTGCTGCAATTGTACAAGGCTGTTGTGACCACACTAGGAATAATGCATGCAGTTTTGGTTTCCTTATCCAAGCAAAGCTTTTTCTGGTTATCAGGGGAGTGCAATGAAGATTTACCAACTGACTCCTGGGATGGCACGATTGGCATATGAAGACAGACTGGATTGTTTGGAGCTATATTCACTGGAGTTTATAAGAGGGAAGGAAGTCTCAGAAACATACAGAATTCTAGCAGGACTAGACAGGGTAAATGCAGGAAGAAGTTCCTGATAACTGGGAATTCCAGAACCAGGAGTCACAGTTTAAGGATATGAAGTAGATCATTTATAACTGAGATGAAGAGAAATTTCTTTACCCACAGAGTGGAGAGCCTGTGGCATTTTCTGCCACAGAAGGCAGTTGAGGCCAAAACATTCAATGTCTTCAAAAAGGAGTCAGACACAGTTCTTTGGGTTAAAAGGAATCAAAGGGCTTGGGAGAAAGTGGGAACAGGGTACAGAGTTGGATGATCAGCTGTGATCACATTAAATGGTGGAGCAGGGTCAAAGGGCTGAATGGCCTACTCCCGCTCCTATTTCTGTTTCTATGAGTTGACCATGAGGCCACGAGGAAGAACAGATGCCTGTGTCACACACAAACGTTTTATGAGTCAGCGAACTGCGTGTTGTTTTGTTGCTCAGACATTTTATAATCTGAACATCAGCATAATGTAGGTGTCCAAGCTGCGTCTTACAAACCATTTATTTTTTATCGTAGTGTTCTGATCCTAGTAATGGAATTCTATGTCGCTCCCTAAACTGCTTCGGAGGGAGGTGTGGCACAAATTCCTCTCCACTGTTAGGGCCATGAAACATAGATTGTTGCTGTCAAGACAAAATATTTACTGGTGGTTAAACTTCAAGTATTCGGTTGGTAGTCATGCTTTAAACTTAACTACAAGATACTTCACAAAAAAAGCCATTCTATCAAAATGTTCATAAGCAACTTAATTAATGAAAAGAAGTAGAGTTAATGATGACATTAACAACAAAAACAGAAATTGCTGGAGAAATTCAACAGGTCTGGTGAAAAGTCACTCAACTCAAAATGTTAACTCTGCTTTCTTCCCAAAGATGCTGTCAAACCTGCTGAGCTTTGTCAGCAATTTCTGATAGAAACAAACATAGAAAATGGTGCAGGAGCAGGCCATTCGGCCCTTTGAGCCTGCAGCACCATTCGATATAATCATGGCTGATCATGCAATTTCAATATCCCACTCCCAGGTTCTCTCCATACCCCTTGATCCCTTTAGCTGCAAGGGCCATGTCCAGCTCCCTCTTCAATATATATAATGAACTGGCCCCAACAACTACCTGAGAGAGAGAGAAATCCACAGGATCACAACTCTGAGTGAAGAAATTCTCTTCCTCATCTCAGTCGAGTGGCTTCCCCTTTTTCTTAGACTGTGACCTCTAGTTCTGGACGGTCCCTACATTGGGAACATTCTTCCTGCATCTAGCCTGTCCAGTCCCATCAGGATTTTACGTTTCTATGAGATCCCCTCCGTCATTCTTTTAAATTCTAACGAGTACAAGCCCAGTCGATCCAGTTTTTCTTCATGTGTCAGTTCTGCTGTCCCAGGAATCAGTCTGGTGAACGTTCGCTGGATTCCCTCAACAGCAAGAACATCCTTCCTCAGACTAGGAGACCAAAACTGCACATAATACTGAAGGTGTGGCCTCACCAAGGCCATGTATAAGTGCAGCTAAGACATCCCTACTCCTATACTCAAATCCTCTCGTTATGAAGGCCAGCATGCCATTAGCTTTCCTCAGTGCCTGCTGCACCTGCATGCCACCCTTCAGCAACTGTTCCACCTCCAGATCTCCAGCATCCACAGTTCTTTTGTTTTATCTTAATGTTGGCATTTCCTTGTGTTTTGTCCTCATCACCTGCCAGCAGCATCCTACAGGAACTGATAACATACTGATGTCTGTCTCTATTATTGATTTTCATTCAGGAGTCTACAAAAGTCCTTATTCAACAAAAAAAAAAAATCCTTTGAAGAAACTAACTATTTTGGAAACTGAGTAATGAGGAAATCATCGAGAGTCACTGAGCCCTGTGGTATACAGAAATTGCACTGTTTATATTCCAGTGAACGAAAAAGGGAGAACTTTATTCAGGCAGCACTGTTTCCGTTGAAGCTCTGACAAATTGGGCAGGTCACAAAAAGCAAATTGAATGCTGAAGCGATTTGGGCTGTGCAAATTCAGTAAACTGGATTAGATCTCCTCAAGGGATAACACTGCTTTTATGTCAGACAACCTGCTGAACAAAAGAAAAAAAGACCCGAAATGATTAATCCTACCAGTAGACCGCCAATAGAATAATAATGTTCACCATGCTGATATATGCAACAATAGAGCTTCACATCCTTTTTTTTTGTTTTAAGGAAGAAAGATTTTGCTGAAACACAAACACGTAATGCTGCAGATTCAGGTTCAACAGTAAAACAGAAGTTAATTACACAAGAAAAATGCAATTAAAAAGGAATAAAAACAAACTAATTACATATATTACATGTCTAACGATTTCTAAACACAAAAGTATAAGACCATTAATCCCAAAAGCACCCCTTTAGAGTATGTGCACCAGAAAGAATTCCTATCATTTTGTTTGTCTCATTTTAACTGTGACTTCAAATCCCAGTCTTGAGAATCTGACAGCCTCTTCCTGAAGTAACTGAGTTTAAACTTTCACCTTCAAATAATCCCTTCAGAGTTTTAACTGAAAAAAATTCTGGTTAAACTTCAAAAACTTCTCCGAAATTTTACTAAACACCTTACATTCCAGGAGTGTATTTTTATAATTCTAAACTTCATCCTTTCTCAGGAGCAATGGCTTTCTACAACGGTTTCAGCCAAGTGCCTTGCAGAATTGTCAGAAACTTTTAAAAAAAAGAAAAATTTTCTCCAAGCTTTGGGTATTTCTCTTATTCAAAAGAAAAGATACTAAATCTCTGGCTTTCTCAACTGTAGCCTAATGTATAATGTTTACTCTGTTCACTGGTAACATTCTCCCAATGTAAACACAGATCAATTTCTTTCCTGAAATCTCTCTCTCACATTGTTTTTAAAGAAATTACCATGGCTACAGAAATTCTTACAAGTTAATCACTAAACTCGTTCAGAGACACAGAAAACCCATATACCACAAGCGTAAATTCAAAAATCCAAATTCAAGAGCAAATGATATGAAGACCTTACTACACATGGGTTAGTACTTTGACTGCATCATGTGGGAAAAGGTTCTTGCAAGGCTTTTTTTCACCCACTTCATAAAATTAACTTTTTATGATTAACGCCGGAGTCAAAAGGCAAGTGGTCCAAGTTAGATTTGTGGTCAAACATCCTATGGCCAAAAAAAATTTCAGTTTTTTTTCACTGATTAGAATAGTTTCAGGTATTGAAAAAAACATCTTATATTTATTTAGAACATTTAATACAATAAAAGAAAAGCCTAAAGCACTTCACAGAAGATTATAAAGTATAGTATTGAGCCATGCAAAGATATATTAAGATAGACGGCCAAAATGCTTGACCATAGAGGCAGATTTTCAGGAGTGTCTTAAAGGAGGAATGTAAGGTAAAGTGGCTTGTGGCTTATGGAAAGATGGTGTGATCGCCAATATTACAGTCATTAAAACTGGAGATGCTCAAGAAGGCAGAATTAGAGGAGTGCAAATATTTTGGAGTTGTCGAGCTGGTGGAGATTACAGACACAGAGAGGTCAGAGGCCATGTAGAGTTGTAAAAAGCTGAGAATGTTTTAAAAATCAAAAGCTGTGTAGAACAGTGAGCAGAGTGGTAATGAGCGAATGGCACTTGGTGTACTTTATGGTTATGGGTGACATGATTAAACAGGGTATACCTCTATTTGCAGAAGTACATTAGGATCGTTAAATCCAACAAAGGCCTGGATGAGGGTTTCAGCAGATTAATTGAGCTAGGGGTGGAGCCAGGGAATGTTATGTAGGTGAAAATAGGTGGTCTTTGTGGTTAAAAAGTCACCTCTCAGTCAAATATAACACAGTATGTATCAGCCTCACTTACCAGATGGAAGGATGGAATCAGTGTGAAGGTTGCAATTTTGTGATGGTGACTGAAAACAAAGGCTGCTGTCTTCCCATTAATTAAATGGAGGACATTTTTGCTCATCCAGTCCTGGATGATGAATAAGCAGTCACACAAATTAGACACAACGGAAGGGTCAAGAGAGCTGCTGGGGGGATTGTGCAGGTTGTCTTTGTGTCACTTGTGGAATCTGGTATGTTTCAGTTATTGTCATCAATGGGCAGCGTAAAAATGAGAAATAGTAGATGCAGGGTGGCAAGGATAGATTGTTGGGGGATACCAGGGCCAACAAATGTGTGAACGAGAAGACAGCTTGTTAATTATGAATTCTTGACTGTGATTAGATAGATAAGAACGGACCCAAATCCCTGCTGAATTTCACCAAGAAGTTGATAGGAAGGAAAACATTCTCGTTTCTTACACTCCCAATTTCTAGCAATGTTAAAATTTCAGAATGCTCATTAAATTAGATAAAGGTATCCAGGATGATAAGTACTAAATATTACATAGAATTCTTTAAAAATGCAATTGCAATAATTTCCAATTCCAAATACAATGCGTCCCTAAAATGAACCTGTGAAACCCAACCCTCTAGCTAGCATAAGGCCAGCACAGCAGTTGTACATACCTCATGAACTTGTTGAATCTCCCTCATTGCCAAGCGTATTGAAGGGTACAGCCTTGGGAATGTGCGTTTGCCTCCTTCATGCTCATCCTCAATCCAGTTCTCTGAGTTCATCGCAGCTGAGCCCCCAGAAGCAGCAGCCTGAAGCTTTCTGTCTGTGATCTTTCTCATCACTGGAGGCACTTGAGGCTGGAGTGACAACGGTGAATCAGGTGGTATGAAAAGCTTAGACAGCTCATTGTGCACTCGGTCATGTGTCGAGTTATCGGATGCAGTACTAAAACTTGATTTGTCTTGAGGGTTGGTTGTCACTGAAAAATTTCTGAGCTCTTCATAATCTGGCTCATGGTCACATTTCTAGAAGGGAACAATGTTGCATTATCACATGTGAAACAGTGTTGAGTTAATTTAACTACCTTATGTTGTGCGTCATAATATCATAATGTCTTTTAAGTGCACATTAGACATACCTTCACCCAAGTCTAAAGAGACTTAAGCCCTATCACAAATGTTGAGCTCATAAACCAGACTGATTTCTCAAAGCACTACTTAGGGAGTACTGTATTGGCAGAGGTGCCATCTTTTTCACCAGTTGCTACACAGAGGTTTTATCTGCCAGCCCTTGGTAAACTTAAAAGTATTAAGTGGCACAACCTGAAGAAGCAGCCTGGGTCAACATCCCTTTCTCAACCCACGGGACCAAAACCCAGTCATCTGTCCACCTATTTAATTGCTATTTGTGGAACTATACTCTTAAAATAAAGTGCATAGAATTTTGACCTTTGGAAACAGGGTACAAATGCCAAGGGATTTTGCTAAATCTAAATAATGGAGGATTTCAGGCACGGCTGTGGTTTTGTGACCAGCTCTGGGCGTCACGTGTTGGGAAGGTGGTGAAGGCTTTGGCAAGGATACAGAAGACATTTACTACTATAGTTCCAGCAACAAGGGCTTAAAGTTACCTGACAGACTGAAAAAGCTGAGGTAGTTCACTTTGAGCAGAACAGACTGAGTCGATTTAACAGATGTTTAGTCATGATAGGGGCATGGTAGTTTAACAGTGTTGTTACATAAATGGTTGTTGTGATTATTGGAGGCCAATCAGCCGAGTCCCAGGACATTGAGCAAGAACTCCTTTAGGCCCAATTATCTTCAGCTGCTTTGATGGCCTACCCTCCAACATTACATCAGGAATGGCTGTGTTTGCTGGTGACTGCATATGTCACTCCATTTCCAACTCCTCAGAAACTGAAGAAATCTGTAACCATATCCAACATTCCGGCTTGGGCTGCTAAGTGTTAAGTAGCAATCCCAATGCACAAATGGCAGGTTATGACCGCCTCCAACAAGGGAGAGTCTAATCATGGTCCATTAAGGTCCTATGGCATTATCATCATCTGATTTGTCACCATCAACCAAAAATAGCATTGGACCAGCCACATTATAACATGGTTTGAGAGCAAGTCAGAGGCTGGGGATTCTGCAGCAAATAACTAATCTCCCCCAAGTTTGACTACCATCTACAAGGCACAAGTCATCTGCTTGATGCAACTCTTCCTATTTTATCTGTATAAGTGAAGTTCCAACAACATTGGGCTGATACATGAATCTGAAAGGTTTAGAGGCATGTGGCCAAATGCAGGCAAGAGGGACTAGTTTAATTGGTTAGCATGGACTGAAAGGTCTGTTTCTGTGCAGTATGACTAACTTTCCAGGACAAAGTATCTGTTTGATTATCACCCCATCCGTTATTTTAAACACTTACTCACTTCACCGTCAGCACTCAGTGGCAACAGATGCAAAGCAGCAACTCACCAAGGCTCCCTTGACAGCATCTTCAAAATCTACCATCTCTACACTTTAGAAGAATAAAGGCAGTAGAAGCATGGGAATAATACACGACTACATGTTCCCCAACATGCAACACATTAAACAATGAACTATATGCTGCTCCTTTACTGTTACTGCTTCAAAATCCTGGAACTCCATTCCTAACGGCTCTGTTAACAATGGAGGGTCAGTAGCAAATGGACTGCAGCAGTTCAAGATGGTGGCTCCCCACTCTCCAGGGCAATAAAGAATGGGAAATAAATGCCAGCTTTGCCAGTGATAGTCACACTTCGAGAACAAATGTGAAGAGAAGTAAAGAGAAACTGCTTCCAACAACTTAAAGGTAAGAGGGGAAAGATTTAAAAAGGGACCTAAGGGGTAACATTCTCACGCAGAGGGTGGTGCACATTTGGAATGAGCTGCCAGAGGAAGTGGAGGAGGCTGGTACAATTACATTTAAAAGGCATCTGGATGGGTATACGAATAGGAATGGTTTAGAGGAATATGGGCCAAATGCTGGCAAATGGGACTAGATTTATTTAAGATATCTGGTCGGCATGAAAGAGTTGGACCAAAGGGTCTATTTCCGTGCTGTATATCTCTATGACTCTCACTAAAGGGTCAATAACCAGAGGATCAGAGTGACTGGTTAAATGAATAAATTTTTAATGCATGGAGTGATAAAATGGTGGAAGTGGATTCAATAGTAGACATTAAAAAAAACAGAATGCATTCTCAAAGGAGAGGAAATTGCAAGGATGTGGAAAAGGAGCGTGGAATGGGACCAACAGGGCAGCTATATGCAATTGCAAAGCCTTGGACTTGAAATTTAGAAATAAAAATTCCAGCCGTGCTTTATTTTTAATTCTTTCATAATCCAAATATCATTGTTGAGGCTTGAAGTTGTTGATAATCCTCCAACTTGCCTCGAACTCCGTAGGGTTCCTGTCAAATAGCAATCACTTTGCCATTGATCTGGCGTCGCATGCAGGCCAGACAAGGAAAGGTTGGCAGATTTCTTACCTTAAAAGGGCGCAGAACCTAGTATGTTTTTGGTGACAATTGATAATAGTTGTCATTCCTGAGACTAGCTTTATTTTACAGATTTATCAATTGAATTTAAATTCCAGTAGCTGCCATGATAGAAGTTAAATCAATTCCCTCTAGATTATGTGAACTGTTACATTACCACTACATTACCACCTTCATCTCCTAGGCATCAGATAGTAAAACTAACTACTCTTAAAGGGCAAGATCAACCTATTTTTGCTCACATTGAGTGCTTTACAGAAATGACAAAGATAGGTTGCAACTGACACCTAAGTGGAGTCTTTGCAGCCTATTGCTGTATTCTCACTTGCCTCCACATCCTTTTCTAGATTCTAGAAACAAGCCAGCTCAGCAGTACAGGCAAGTAAACAAAAATGTTGATTGACTGCAGACGATACTGAAGAGAGGGTAGCACAATCTTTGTTTGTTTTTGGAGGGGTGTATTACCATAATGTAACACATTCATGAAGAAAGCAGACCTTTACTTGTCTATGTGAAACTGCTTTGCCTTTCTACCTACTTGCTTTACAAAAGCTTTGACATTGGAAAAGTTCCAATGGTATTCCAGTAATTTGTCCAAGTTGCAAATTTCTTAGCATTAAATCACACAACTTGTCAACAGTAAGGAAGACAAATCATAGCAGAGTTGGATGCTGTCTGCATCCAGAAAGCTAAATCATACTCCTGTGTGCACACCGCATTCTCTCCTCACTCTTGATGCCCCAATCTCTGCCCTTTCCCAAAACTTATTCATTCTTTTAATTCCATCGTCACTTACTTTGCCCCAACATGTTCCCCATGACATCTGATGTCTGCTATTTTTCCCTCGCACACACTGGCTCCCTTGTCTCTCAAGCACAGCAGATGTTTTGCAACATTACCAGCCTGTTTCCTTGCTCAGTGCCAGGGAAGCAGTGAAAAAGGAAGGTACCTACATAATCAGGAGGCTTACTAGTGATGTATGAACAGAGAGAGCTGGGAACTGTACAGGAGAATTGTGAAGTGGGAAACAGATGGCAAGAGTCAGATCCTCGGCAATAACTGGAACACACTCAGGCACTGTTCATGTAAAAGTGTAACAGAATAATAAGCTTCAAAAAATTCTGAAAACCCAGAAAAGCTTGAATAACATGGCCACAATATGTTATCAGAGCTGAACTGGTAATTACGGACAATACAGTTCCCTGAACATAGTACAGTTTATTTTGCAAACTCATATGGGTTTTACACATGGACTAAGCAGCATAAATGTCAGGAAGAAAGTATGTGAATACCAATATATGAAGAAAAGTTAACTGGACTAAACATTTACTGCTTATTGACAGTGTACTGCTCCCCGAACTCAAACTCATGAAAAATTGCTAAATATAAATTTTTAGTCCCAATTTCACTTTAGAACTGTCCAGTTGATAAGAATACTGGTCAAGAATGCAAAGTGAATCAAATATCTATGTGGAATTTGGGGAGAAAGGGAGGGTCAGTGTGTGACTGTAATGATAAATTAGCGTTACAGTGGTTTATTTCTAAATTATTTAATTTAAGGGAGGTGGCTCAGAACACGGTTGGTAGCAGGTGCACATTATAAAATTACCTGAAGATTCTGAAGTAATGTACGTAGAACAGTACAGGCCCTTTGGCCCACGATGTTGCGCCGACCTATTATCCTACTAAGATCAAACGACCCTGCATACCCTACATTATACTATCATCCATGTGCCTATCCAAGAGTCACTTAAATGTCTCTAATGTATCTGACTCCACTACCACTGCCGGCAGCGCATTCCACATATAGAAACAAATTACTTACTTGACCACAAGGTGTAGTGAGGACCTCCATGAATGGCTGAATTCCAACAGTTTTGTAATAGTCCACCAAGTCTGGCAGTGATGGGTGGGCCTTATCTTCTCCCAGTATTACATACTTCCCATTAGGCTGCATTTCAATCATATAGTGTCGGCAACGATCCACACCTCTGGAAGTAAAAACGTAGTAAAAATAAGGGGAGTGATCAAACGTGAACAGTTTGCTTTTGATTTACTGATCCAACTGAACAACTGGACTTTTAATTCTTGTGTTTTGACAGAATTGGGGAAACAAAACCACATTTCATGTTGGATTAAAGTAGTAACAAGGTTAACCAGGTTAGTAAATATATTCAAGCTGTTTTACCACTGTGCAAGACAGACAGACAGTATGGAAAGTTATTAATCCCAAACAATGGCTATGTTATGATTCAATAGGCATTGTACAAAAAAAGTGTCTCCTTAAAATATAAATAAACATGGCCCATCCTTTTAACGAATTTTACAAGCATTGTTGGTACTTTATTTAAGGAAATATATCCTGACATTGAAGGCAGTCCAGAGAACTTTCACTAGATTAATTACAGATAGGCAGGGATTTGTTACAGGGGAGGTCGAGTAGTTCAAGCTTATATTTTTGGAAGAATGGGAGAAGACCTTATTGAAACATAGATTAGAGAGGTTGTTTTCTCTTGTGAGTGACTGTAAGACTAGAGGGCATAATCTCAATTCAGGTGTCACCCATTCAAGACAGAGAGGAGGAAGAATATCTTCTCTGAGGGTAGTGAATCTGTGGAATATTTTTTTAACCACAGAGGGCTGTCAAGACTGGGTCGTTAAGAATTTTAGGGCGGAGATGGATGGATTTTATTCAGTAAGGGCATCAAGGATTACAGGGGAATAGCAGGAAAGTGGAGATGAGGATCATCAGATCATCAGACATGATCTCCCCTCGATAGCACACTTGACAGGCTGAATTGCCTACTTCTGCTCTTATGTTCTTAGATATGCCTGAAGATGTCCATTTAAATGTATTCACTCAGGAAACAGTGTTGCCAGTGCCACAGTAAAAACAGGAACAGAAAATGTAGCCGAGCTAACAGAAAAACTGAAAAATAACAAATTAGATGAAGTGGTATTTAAGTGAATTAGGGATGGGAGCATATAAAGTAGAAAATTACGCAGTCTGATTGCTGAGGAAAGAAAGTCTGGAGATAACGGAAACTCCTATTACAGCCTTCCAATTCTCCATACATATAGGAGCAGTGCCAAGGACTGATGGATTGCAAATACTCTCCTGCTGTTCAAAGGAAATGGTGAAGGATAAATCTAATAATAATAGACAAGACAGCATGAAATCAGTGGGGAGGAAACTTAGAAATAATGAGATGCAAAATGATTCAGCACTTGGAAATGCGTGAGTTGTAAAATAGATTTGTTAACGAGAAATCATACTTAATTAAACTTAGTCCAATTCTTTGATGAAGTTGCAAGAGTTTTCAATGCCACAATGTAATGAGTCCAAATTTGCTCCATAGCCTTTTGCATGGACCTTTATTAGGCATCTGAAATATTAACTCTCTGTATGTCTCTCTCCACAGATGCATCAGGTTTGCTGAGTATATCCACATCTTCTGTTACGTTAAGAACCAGAATTCAGCTTTCTGATGCGGAGAGAGTGCACACGAGAGCAGACAGGGATAAAACCGTGTAAAGTACGCCAAGTAGCAGGGAATTCTGGGCATTTTCAGGACGGTGTAAATAAAGTTTACAGTTGTGATGAATTTGCTATATATTCTGATAGACCAGGATGAGAAATTGAAGTTCTAGTCAAAAATAAGAAAGAATCATATTAGATACAGACAACTGCGATCAAATGAATCTCATGAAGAGAATAAACAGTATTGGGGCATTCTTAGGAGTGAAATGAGGAGAGCAAAGAGGGATTAATGAGATAGCCTTGGCAGTGGTGTTAAGGATAATCCAAGGAGATTCTAAAAATACGTTAAATGCAAAAGAGAATAGGGCCCCTTAAAGATCAATGATGTCAGCTACATGTTGAACCTTAAGAGATGGGAGAGATACAAAATGAATATTTCACATCAGTTTTTTACTTTGGAGAAAGAAATGGAGGCTAGAGAACTCCAGGAAATCAATGTTGATGTTTTGAAAACAGTTCACGTTACAGATCAGGAAGTGCTGGAGGTCTTAAAATACAAAGGTGGATAAATCTCCAGGACCCGATCAAGTGTATCCCTGGACATGGTGGGATGTTAGGGAAGAAATTGCAGGGGCCCTAGTAGAAATGTCTGTAATCATCTACAGCTGCAGGAGATATGCCAGAGAACTGGAGGGTGGCTAATGTTGTGACATTATTTAAGAAAGGCTGGAAGGAGAAGCCTGGAAACTATAGACCTGTGGGTGTGACAGCGGTGGTAGGTACATTGTTGGAAGTGATTCTGAAAAATAGAATTTAGATGCATCTGGAGAGGCAAGGACCGATTAGGGATCGTCAGCATGGTTTTGTGTGAGGGAAATTGTATATCTCAAACTTCATCGAGATTTGAGGAACTAACCAAAAGATCGATGAGGGCAAAGCGTTAAACATTGTTTATGTGGATTTTAGTAAAGCCTTTGACAATGTTCTGCATGGTAGACTAATTAGTAAAGTTAGATCACATGGGATTCAAGGCAAGCTTGCCAACTGGAAATAAAATTGGCTTGACAGAGGGTGATGGTGGAGGGTTGTTTTTCGGACTGGAGGCTTGTGATTGGTGATAATCCACAGGGACTGGTATGAGGTCCACTTCTGTTTGTCATTTATATCAATGATTCAGATGAGAATGTAGGAGACACAATTAGTAAGTTTGCAGATGACACCATTGTCCATTGTCTTCCTCAATTGGGACAGGAGCGGAGGAGTGGCAGGTAGAGCTTAATTTGGATAAATGGAAGGCATTGCATTTTGGTAATACAAACAAGGACAGCACTTATATAATTAATGGTAGGGCCCTGGGTAGTGTTGTAGAACAGAGGGACCTAAGGGTCAGGTATATATCTTCAAAATTTGCATCAAGGGTAGACAGGATGGTTAAGATGGCATTTAGCTATCTTGCCTTCATTGCTCAAAGCATGAGTATAGGAGTTGGGATTTCATGTTGAGGTTGTACAGGACATTGAAGAGCCCTCTTATGGAGGACTGTGTACAGTTCTGGTCACCCTACTATTGGAAGGATATTATTAAACTAGAGAGGTTCAGAAAAGATTTACCAGGATGTTGACAGGAGTGGAAAGTTTGAGTTATAAAAAGATGTTGGGACTTAGTTCACTTGAGCGAAGATGGTTGAGGGGTGATCTTATAGAGGTTTATAAAATCATGAAGGGGAAAGAGAAGGTGAATGACAAGAGTCTTTTCCCTAGGGTGAGGGAGGTCAAAACTAGGCGGCATATTTTTAAAGTGACAGGAGAAAGATTTAGAAAGGACACAAGGGGCAACCTTTTCACAGAGAGTGGTTCATGTGTGGAATGAACTTCCAGAGGAAGTGGTGGATGCAGGTACAGTTACAACATTTAAAAAAGACACTTGGATAACTTCATGAATCGGAAGGATGTAATAGGAGGGATACGGCCAAACACAGGCAAGTGGGAGTAGTTTAGTTTGGGAACATGGCCTGCATGGACTAACTGGACTGAACAGTCTGTTTATGCTGTGACTGAAACATTGCATTAATATACTGAAACAAATCTTGTAGTCTTATTCAGAGATAGTAGGAACTGCCAATGCTGGAGAATCTGGGATAACAAGGTGTAGAGCTGGATGAACACAGCAGGCCAAGCAGCAGAGGAGCAGGACAGCTGACGTTTCTGAAGAAAGGTCCAGACCCGAAACGTCAGCCTTCCTGCTCCTCTGATGCCGCTTGGCCTGCTGTATTCATCCAGCTCTACACCTTGTTATCTTGTAGTCTTACAACTGCTTTAGTTGTAGGTGATGATTAACTACTTTTTGACTTCATCAGCCTCACCCATAACAAAGCTATTCCCATTTGGATTGTTTTTACAAATCTGTAATATTTTTCTTGCATTTAGTACATATCAGATGCTCAGGTCAGTAACTGTTTCAGTTGAAAAGAAAAAAGGAAGAAATTTTACCGAAATGTGAGTGTGTATCCTTCTCTACTTCCACTGACACGAATAAGGAAGCAGCCTAGAGGCTGGTTTGCCAGCAAGTCTTCACTTTCTCTGTAAAACACAGGAATATGAAAATGTATTACTCTGGTACACATGCCTAATAAACAGAAATGGAGCTGAAATGCAGACAGCTGTTATAAAGCAGGATATAGGGGCAGCACGGTGGCACAGTGGTTAGCACTGCTCCTCACAGCGCCAGGGACCTGGGTTCGATTCCAGCCTCGGGCAACTGTCTGCGTGGAGTTTGCACGTTCTACCCTTGTCTGCGTGAGTTTCCTCCGGGTACTCCGGTTTCTTCCCACAGTCCAAAGATGTGCAGGTTAGGTGGATTGACCATGCTAAATTGCCCGTAGGTGTTCAGGGATGTGTAGATTAGGTGGATAATGGGACGATGGGTCTGGGTGGAATGCTCTGAAGTTTGGTGTGGACTTGTTGGGCCGAAGGGCCTGTTTCCACACTGTGATGATTTAAAATAAATTTTACAGGGCAGAGTTCATTCCTACCAGCTTTGATCTTGTATTCCTTCAACACATGCTGCCTTATCCAATCCTTAAGTCTCCAGAAGAGGTTAATGACATTTGAGAGGATTCAAAGGAACAATAAAAATATAATGATTGATAAAAGTGGGATGATGGGGAGGCTCAGAGGAAGAGTTGTGGGGGCAAGGAGGTGGGGGACAGGGAGGTGTTGCGGGGGGCAGGGAAGAAGGGTTGCAGTGGCATAGTGGCAGAAGAATATTTACAGCGGCACAAGGTGGGGGGCGGAGGGGGAAGAATGGTTGCGGCTGGACGAGGGGGTGGGGAGTGGGGGCAAGGGAAAGGTGAGCTGGTTGTGAGTTGGAGGCATGTATTGTCATGGGAGGGTGGTATTTGGGGTATGCGTTGAGGTGAGGGCTAGAAGGCTGACCAGCTTCTAAAAAGAACTGAAGCTAAGTCCCAAAGACCAAAAGGTGGGCCCTTCTCATTAAACTGCCTCAGCACTTGGCCATCCCCATCAACGTCCCAGATCTACATCTGGGATTGACAGGCCCAATTCTATCGCACCCCTGGTTCCCGAGTGAAAGTTTGGGTTAAAAGGCCACATTTGACTGAGGTGGCATGCCGAGACAGGAAATGTCCCAGCTTGAGCTATATAACTCAATAATGAAAATCTTTAAAGTCAAGTGGTTCCCCTTCACTTCATGCAATTCCAATCAGCAAAACTGAGCACAGCATTGCTGCAGCAAAAAAATGCAAAGCATATCCAATAGATTTAAAACTGGACTCACCTCCGTGTAATCATCCCATGGAACCAGCACGGAAAAGTGCCATTCTGAATGACTTTTCGAGCTTGAGTCTCTTTGAACCAACGAATTGTGGCTCTCTTCTGGTTGATTTGCTGCTGTTCCTTATCGGCTTGTTCCTGTAACCAGCTGCTATTCATGCGGTCTCGAGAATTATCAAATGGGGTTGCCTAAAACAGTGACAGAAGTTACAACCAGCAGCCAGTTATTAAAGTCAGCAATGGAAATAGGATACCACTGAATGGGACTGGTTACATATTTAATATTTCCTCATTTATCCTCAGAGAATCCCCATGAAAGACAATCCAAGCATAACATAAGCCTTCAATTTAAAATGCGTCATTTCCAAACCCATATCTATTTCCTCCTCGTATCCATCATCTCCTCTTTTACTACAACACACTGATATTAAGGCTTTCCTAATTCTGCCCGAGATCATCCCTGATTTTAATCACTCCACTTTTGCCAAGGCTCTAAGCCAGAATTCCTTTGCTAAAGATCTTCATATCCCTTTGTTCCTTTAAAGCTACTTTTTGATGAAGGTTTTGCTTCTCTCTCCCAGTACCTCCTTATGTGGCTCAGTGCCAAGTTCTTTAAAGAATCCACACAGTGGGGAAACAGGCCATTTGATCCAACAAGTCCACACCAAGCCTCCGCAGAGCATTCCACCTATACCCCCACCCCCTACCCTATCCTTGTAACCCTGCAATTTCCATGGTTTACACACCTAACCTACACAACCCTGGGCACCATGGACAATTTAGCAATCCACCTAACTTTGGACTGTGCAAGGAAACTGGAGCAGCCAGCGGAAACCCATGCAGACACGGGGAGAATGTGTAAACTCCACACAATCAGTCACCCGCAGCTGGAATCACACCCAGGTCCCGGGTGCTATCAGGCAGCAGTGTTAACCACTGAGCCGTGTTGCCCTCTGGTCGATAGACCTCCTGCACGTGTTGCAGGTACTATAGCGCAAGTTGTTGTCGTCATCGGTTGCTCTCTGTTGACCATTCCTGACTACAAGGATCAGAAATATTATAGGAAAGTGCTGGTACAATGGGAGGGAAATGCTCCTGGAGAATGGAAGAGGAATGGGATTTCAACATGCCTGTTACTGGTATTACTGGGTTTGAAGCCATTCAACAGTACAGCACTTCACTAATATATTTAATTCAATTTCCCAGATTATAACAGGGAAGTAAATTCAAATTTTACACTTGCTGTATGGGCCCTGCACCTACTGCACAAGTCTCTCTAAGCCCAGAGTCCCATCCATGCCTCAATCACAATTGTGTTTGACCTCCTAACCCTAGCTGTTACTCCCAGCATCCAATGGGATTACCAACTTGGGTGGGCTGTAACCACAAAGCAAAAAAATTTCTTTCCATGCAACATCTTTCATGGATTCTTCTGCTCTACTGGGATGTCCCATTAGCCAACTTGGGACCCTAGTTGCTGCATGATTCAAAACAGAATGAAACCCTCACCTTAAGATAACAGGGGTCAAAAATATTGAGAAAACAACACTAGAAATATCACAGTAATTCCCACACATGCAAAATGATTGAAATAAACTGAAATTTCTTTGCATCAAAGTTTTAAAACATGCATAAAAATGATTCTGTTAGAAATATCATTTTAAGTCACAGCTTTTAGAAAAGATCAGTTTTCTTTTTACAGATTTGTAATTGGCAAGTAAATTTAAAAAGTGTTTTGCTGGTCATTTGAACGAAAAGAATCCAATGAATAGCATTTGTAATAATAAATATTAATTTCCATTACACAAAGTTTTGTCACTTGTGTGTCCAGGAGCCCCACCTACATCCTGGATATTTTTAATTGATCCGTTCAGACACTTCTCTGGAGCAGGGGAGATTTGAACCCAGGCTTCCTGGCCCAGAAGTAGGGGCACTGCCATTGCACCGCAAGAGCCCTCCACCAATATCAATGTTGATTACACGTTAAAATGTGTGAAGTGCTCTATCTTTAGGCCTGAAATCATCCAAATTAAAATTTGCTGAGTCAAAGAAAAATGCAATTTAACAATGAAATGCCTCCTAGAGCAGATACCAGTCCCAAAACTAGTATTGCCAGCATTATTTTCCCCTTTGTTTCCTTTGAATATATTGTTCTTGACAGGAAGCAAAGATAACTTGAACAGGCATCTGGCAAAAAAAAACACTGCCCATTTTAAATACATGTTTCTCCCATCCTCCATCTCTAGCCCTTCCAGGTAACTTGTCGTTACGCCTGCTGCTCAAAATAATTGATCAGGTCACCTGGGTCGTTACTCTCAAAATGCTTCTCCTCTTTGCTGATGCAGCATGCTCTACCCATCCCAGACAGCAAACAAGCTATAAAGCTTGACGTAGACATGGTCAAATCAGTAATAACAGAAACCAAAAGGTCTGAGTCCAGGCACTTTAAAAAACCAAGTTAAGCCCAGTTAAAGTCTATCATTTTTCAATATAAATATTAGGAGGTTTATTAGTCACCTGCACCATTCTATTCACTTTCAATCTAGAAAGTGAGGACTCAATCTTATTTGGGAATATTACAAATCCAAGGATTTATGCAGTGGTTATGTTTCAAACTCTCTCTTTAATTCAAGGTAAAATGGAGCATGTGATCTCCTACTACTGCTGCTTGGAAATAAGCCAATGTGACCTGGTTACCATGGAGGACCAAAATCGTGGTCAAGTTCTGTTGAAACACAAGTGTCAGGTTTAACACTTAAACACAAAAGAAGAGACAGTGTCTCGCTATTGCGGACTAAGTTTCATAGACACCTTGGTCCCAGAGCGAGAGAAAGAAAGAGACAGCAAGTGAATGAGAACAAGCAGGCAAGACAGAGAAGGAGTGTGTCAGAAAGAGATAAGAGCAGCAGCAATTGCAAACAGCTGAGGAAAGAGTGAATTTCTGTTAGTCACCAGGCAGAACGCAGGTAGGAACAAGCTTTCTGGTTGAACAGATGGAACCAGTAAAAAAAAAAAAATTAAGGACACTGGAAGATTGGTCTTGGTATGGCTGAGAAAAAGGAACCACCAGAACCAGCTGTGCTGCTGCAAGTTGGATTTTCAGAAGACTAAATGGAACTTTTGATAGACATTGCATGTCGTGGCTCAGAGAGTGGAATGAAATGAACCCATTGGAAGCAGTTCCTGTAAAGGTTGTAATTCAATAAAGGGTCTGGTATATGATATAAATCCAGCTTTTGCATCTCTGGTCACTTCAGGATGGAAAGAGGAAATACCTTTTCTGCAGTTTATGTCTAACTGATGTTGATTTTAGTATGTTTGCTAATAACAAAGGGTTCAAATGTGAAATTGTGCCATCTGGTCCTCAGAGTCTATCACTTAAGAATCAAATCTCTTTTTAAAAAGTTTTTGGTCTGTTTAGGGATTGTAACTGAAAACAAGCAATTTAGTTTCAGAAATAGAAAAATGGTTCGGAAAGCAGGCCATACCTCCACTAATTTACTCCGGGGTCTGGGAACAGGAGGCTGGACAGCATTACGAAATTTATCCACAGCTGCAGAACGAGGTCGTGGAAGAGGCTTCTTTTTCCTTGGGAACGGAATTGGAGGTGCCACCGTTTCTGCACGATAAAGACTTCGGTTAACAAAGCGTCATTTTCTGTGCAACATCATAGCTTATTTTTGAGTTTATACAATCCACTTAACAATCCATTCAGAGACTTCATTTCAATAATATTATTGGACTGCTAGAGATTATGTTTACTACATCAGTACAATATACATGTTCGAGGTGCAAGCAGTGGAACACTCGCTTAAGCTGTTCACTGCTTCTTGTTATAGAGGGATATGGTCAGGGAGAACGAATGAGATAGAGAAGGCGGGGTGACAGGGAGATTCGCTTTTGTGTTTGTTCCAGATTTCCAACATTCACAGTTCTTTGTTTTACTAAAACTTCGAGCTTTCTGCACACATGAAAACAGACAATGACAATAAAGGAATTCTTCTCCAACCTTGATAGGGTCCTGTCCCAAATGGCAAGGACCGCTAGTGTAATGGGAGAAACATATCAAATCAGTACAGCAGCAAAACAGTTGTCCACTCCACTGTGCCGCTGATATTGTCGCAGGCCATCCAAAGGAACAGTGTGCATTGACAACTCAAGGATTAAAGTAAAACATCGTTTGCTCACTTCTCCCTTGCAGACATGTTCTGTCTAACATTGTGAAAGTAATTGATCTGAGATTAATTACTTTTGCAGATTTATACCTTGGAGTATCCCAGACAAGGGACACTGACCAAATGATGCCACTTCCAGGCTGATATTTGAAGAACAAGTATGAAAAGCAGATAGATCCATTTTCTGACCTGATATTTCAATACCGGCTTTAAGATCTGCAATTTTTAGGCAACAGAGTCTTTGGAATGGGCATGATTTGATGGGTCAACATTGGGATTTTGTCAAAGTTCATAAATATTTTTACAGCCTAAACAACACCTACTTTCATTCTTCCATTCCATTTCCTGTTTCTTTCTCTCCATTTCTTGTTCCAATTCCATTTGCCGTCTTTCTTCAATCTGTCTTTCCAATTCTAACTGACGTTGGTTTTGTAGCTCAGCCAATAAGATTTTATATCTGCTTTGACAGCGGAATCTTTTGTAGCCTGAAGAACATAATGGCATTAATCCCCTGGACCAATTCATTTCTACGAAAGTCTTTGGTACCGCAAATAAATATATCTACTTTTCAGAGATGAAAAATGTAAGAAGCACAAAGTACAAATGTAAAATAAGAATGTCTTTTTGGATTCAGCACAACAATGCAGTCTGCTGGGTCTCAACACACTGTTCCCTTGTTAGACGACATCAGATGCATTTCCAAAGAGAAAACAAAGATAAAACATTCCCAGAACGGAATGGAGATTTGACTTTGCAAACTGAAGACAAGAAGAATCTTTTACATGGAACTGGATGGTTCAACCAAGATATGTCAATATTTATACTCTGTTGTAGGGCTGCCAACACTCTTGGTTTAGCCTGGAGACTACAAGGATTTGTCCTCAATCTCCCAACCATTTTTCAAAAAAGCAAAGCAATATGGGAGATTTTAAAACAACAGGTTGCTATGAGCGGAGTCCTGGATGCAGCATAGTTCATTTAACTGGGGGAGGGGGTTGGGGTGTGGTGGCAGGTCACTATTTGTAGGCAATACTCCTGCAGAGGCACACCGTGACACAACGTTTGTGGTTAATATCACCTTGCCTGTTCATTTCCCACCGGCCCTGAGCCCGAGAGTGAGCTGAGACAGAAATGTTTGAGAATGAGGAAGCCAGCTCGAGAGCAGCACTGCTTCCAGCTGCCATGACTGAAGCTCTGCATCGTTCAGATCACAGGGATAACTTGCAGAAGCAGCACATGAATGGAACCAAGTTAGAGGTGCCTTTGCTTCCCCTTTGTGTGTTGTTCCTTCTAGCTCACATTGAAGTATAGACAGTGGTGGAATAAATGCACTCCACCCCCTCAATAAAAATTAGCAGCTTTATTGTGCACAGTGTCGGAAACAACAGGTCAATTAATGATGGTATCGTGGACAGTGGTTAAAAACATTTTCACAATAGCTCGATTGAGTTGACAATCTAGCCACTTAAGTTTCTCACATTCTTCACCACTGATAACAAGGGGGAAGGATTCTTTGCTGACAGTGGCTCTGGAAATGGCCTGGAGAATTTCTTTCAGCCACTGTCCAGGGATTATGTGGCTGTTGCTCCCAGTCCACCTCCAGCATGTTTTTTCTCCCCCTTTTACTTTCCATTTGATAACGGGATGGGGACATCACTGACATTCCCAATTCTCCTTGATGTGGTGATGGTGGTGAGCTTGTTTTTGGACTGTTGCAGTGCTCAGTAGCATTGGGAAGGGAGCTGCAGAATTTAAGTAACCAATCTCAGGACAGTGTGGGAATTATAAACGAAATAACCAGTGAAACAGCATGCTGCAAGAAACCTCTGAAGATGAAACACCACTGGTAAGCTTCTCATGTAAAAAAAGCACTCCCTGTGATTTGCCCTGTGCTGGTTAATTGGACAGCCAGCCTGCCCTCTAGTTATTAGGGTCAGTGGACAGACTCTTGCAGTTCACAGCTCATGCGTCTTCCAACTTGACAGCAGCAATGAGATGCATGGAAGTTAAATGAGGGCAATGACACCCTGAATGGCCAGTCTCTAACTTCTAAATTTTAATTTTAAAAAATGGCATTTGCAGCCAGGCTATTACTAGGGGAGTGAGGGAATCCCTCAATATGGCATTTTACTATTGCACCCAGGGAAGGTCTCTGTGGCTGCTGGGAGTGGGGGGCTAAACCCTAACCATCCATGGGGAGGTCACCTTCAAGCAGTTAATCTGGTCCCCCAGTGGCTTGTGGGAAACTTCATGTCAATTAGAAAACCACAGTGTCCTACAATTGGCCTCAAGTGGTCCTTCATAAGCCTGGCCTTGCTGTATCCAGATTCTGTCCCTCGGAAAGTGGCCCAGTGAGAGGTGGAGTGGGGAACCTGTATACAAAACACTGGCAATGCTACTTCTGGTACCTAAACACCTCCGTTTCCAATTTCTGCAAGGACAAACCAAAAAAAAAAAATCAGGCTGCGTATTTTCATTCAAAATATCCAAGAAGGAAGATTTAGTTTGCTGAGAATAGTCAGTCCTTTTCAGACATGACATAAATACAGAGGATTTTTAAAAATACAGCTATTTAAATGTGGGAGACATTGGTATGGCTCGCCCATCTCAACTTCCAAGAGTCGGTTGGCGATTGCTACAGCCCTTGAGGCCATGACGCTCCCACTGTGGGTTTAGATTAAAAACTTCAGGATACTGATTTAAGAACAATCTACAATATTTATTTGAACCAGGACAACATGTTCCTTGGGAGGGCAGGTACGGTATGGAGGGAGGTCAGGGTCGTGTAGAGGGAGATTGGGGTAGATATGGATCGAGGTCAGGGTAGATTGGTGACTAGAATTGCTAACATTCTTATTAAGTTGTGCTACAACCTCCAGAACTATCTGGGATGTCTTGGGTAGTTTTCCTGCCACCAAGCCTTCCTCTTAGTATTAGTCTAAGTTACTGATATCAAGTGAGGAACAATGCCCACAGAAAGTCTTTGATAGAAGATAGGCACAATGTTGATAAACAGAACAAGTTCATTACTTACCATGTTAAAGATAGTTACATGACCTTTGAAATACATGACATACTCTTGAGAGAGATGTTAAGTTCAACGCGAGAGTAAGTTCACATTGCTGCTACTGAAACATTCTGTATACAACTGAACAACCTGAACCTGATAACACATTCTGAATACACTGGTTAGCTTCTGCCAGGAGCAGACTTTTCTATTCTGCTGGACAAAGCTGATCTCTTGATGTCAGAGTCTTTCTAGGTACTGTACAAAACAACAGTTCCCACTGCATTAACTGCTTAACTGGCTACCGATAGGAGATGCTCTCATGTAACCCTGGTAAGCTGTTGCAGTATCTGGTATGTTGTGAAATGTCACAGTTACACCTTTAATATACATGCTCCTCATATAATGGCATTGTGACTTCAGGGTATAAAGGCATCAGACTCCAGTTTAACTGGGGCCACTTGATGCATAACACAGAAAAAGTGTGCTACTCCTTCTAACTAAATAGCTTAACATTAGTTCAAACACGAAAGTGCCTATGACTAAAGTATCAGGAGCTTCAAGTACTGCCTGTTGAATCTTCCAGACACCATTAACCCTGTCTAATTTGTGTGTTACAGGAGCCAACATAAACATTGCCACTTTGGGTACAAATATCCATGAGGAAAAACCCACACCACACGGCAGTTCAATAGTAACCAAAATATTGCAGACGGAAGTGACCTGGTGATGTGGAAGGTGGACACTGAGTCCAACGAAATCTGCTGTGTCCTGGATGGCATTGAGCACCTAGTGTTGCTGTGGCTGCACTTAATTGATGAAGGTTAAGAACGTTCTTCTGACTAAAGCTTTGTCGATGTTGCTGAGGCTTTGAACCACTCATTGTAAAGTAACGTGCAAGCTTATGAATTACAAACAAAAGCAGACCTGCTCTGCCTTTCAATAAGATCACGGCTGATCTGCTTGCTTTCGGAATTCCAACTTTCATCCTACTCTTGAACATCGATAGCAGTTTTGCTGTATAGGTAAACCTCTGGCTGACAAACAACCAAGATCTTGCTGGTCTTAAGCGTTGAATGAGCCCATTAAAGGTTGCGTTTCAATGGCTTTCATTTGATATTTATGGTGCATGAATGTTAACAGTTATTTGGATGTTATCCAGGTCCTCCAGGACACTTCTGTGAACTGATTCACTCGCAGAAGAATGGCAAATAGAGCTCTGTGGAAATCAAACCGTACTTATGCTAAGTAAAAGTCAGATTACACTGCACTCTGACACTCCTTGCATGCAAATTGCATTGGTACATGACCTTCAGGTGCAACCATTTATAAAAAGTCAGAAAGGAAATTGAACCGTAACACTGCTCCAAGTGCTTGTGGGAAAAGGATTAGTGCACAATTTTCTCTCATTATTTGAAAATCAGGCTAAGGAGTTTGACCCCTATCAATGTGCATTATTAGGTTGAACTGGGCCGAGTTACTGAAATTGATCAATTTTGAGATGACAGTTTGAATGATATGGGACTGGAATTAAATTTAAATCTTCAAGGATCGGTATATAAAGCAGGGCAAGAGTTATAGCTGGGGGAAAGGCAACTATGAGGCGATGAGGCAAGATTTAGGATGCATAGGATGGAGAAGGAAACTGCAGGGGCTGGGCACAATTGAAATGTGGAGCTTGTTCAAGGAACAGCTACTGCGTGTCCTTGAGAAGTATGTACCTGTCAGACAGGGAGGAAGTGGTCGAGCGAGGGAACCGTGGTTTACTAAAGAAGTTGAATTTCTTGTCAAGAGGAAGAAGGAGGCTTATGTAGAGATGAGGCGTGAAGGCTCAGTGAGGGCGCTTGAGAGTTACAAGTTAGCCAGGAAGGACCTAAAGAGAGAGCTAAGAAGAGCCAGGAGGGGACATGAGAAGTCTTTAGCAGGTAGGATCAAGGAAAACCCTAAAGCTTTCTATAGGTATGTCAGGAATAAAAGAATGACTAGAGTAAGATTGGGGCCGGTCAAGGACAGTAGTGGGAAGTTGTGCGTGGAGTCCAAAGAGATAGGAGAGGTGCTAAATGAATATTTTTCGTCAGTATTCACGCAGGAAAAAGATAATGTAGTCGAGGAGAATACTGAGATACAGTCTATTAGACTAGACGGGATTGAGGTTCATAAGGAGGTGGTGTTAGCAATTCTGGAAGGTGTGAAAATAGATAAGTCCCCTGGGCTGGATGGGATTTATCCT